AGTGAAGGCTGATAGTGCTGAAAATAAAAAGGCTTGGCTGAGATAATATAATGTATGATGGATGTGCAGTGCAATTTATGTTAAATTTTGTGATTTACTGAAATGAAAGCATACCTTTTAGACATTTGATTGTGATCTGAAAATTATTTTTTTTTTCCAGTGATTAGTAGTGTGTTCTGTTAAAAATATGCGCTTTATTTCAGTTTACATCTATTTTCATCTTCTGGCCTTTCTTAGGCATGAAGCTTCTGTACTACTAAATACTTTTTTTTTTTTTATAGTAGTTGCTTGTTGAACATGTAGTTTTTAGTCTCTGACTTTGCATTTTTTTTGGTCATGTTTCTACCTCGGCTATTTCTGAAGTTTTCAGCACTTCTGACTCTGCACACATTTAAATACTAATTTCATTGAGACCAAAGTAGTCTTAAATCAATTTTCTCTTCCTACATGTATAATGTAATATACACTTGCCCATCTAAAGGTCGCAATAGCTCTTGAGTTGTTTTACCTGTACACTTTGAGGAAGAAAAAAAAAAAAAAAGAATAATCCATGAACATATTAATCAGTTGTGCTGAAGCTTGTTGCTAAGCTGACTTGCCTACGAAAGTGAATTCTTAGTTTTGAGAGACTTAACCAGACAATAATGTGTCTTGATAGTTTGGTACAGTTACGGCTCTGCCTGAGGCTCCCTGGGGGGTCAGGGGGAGGCCCAGGGGTGCTCAGCTCCCCGGTGCTGCTGTGTTACCCGAGCACAGAGCGGAACGGCAGCCGGCGCGACCGCCTTGTCATTTGGAACGAGGAGTCCCGAAGCTGTCCGGCTCTTCAGAAGAAGGTGTGGTGTGTAGCAGACAAGTTAGTTTTAAGGCTTTGAATCTCCTGCTTGCTCCTTTTCAGCCTAGCGAGCTTGCATGATTGCCCTGGTATTGATGCCTTCCAAAAAGAGGTGTGTAGTTTTGTTTTTTTTTTTTTTTTTTTTGTCCTCTCGATGTGCATACGTCCTTGAAAATGCAGATTGTAGGTGAATGAAAAAACCCACTTGTACCACAATTACACTACTCGGTGGTGGAACAGGATGATCAGCCATTAAAACCTTAGGTCCTTCTTCCTCAGTACTTTTTTCAACACCGCTAGGAACCCTCAGAGGGAAAAGCATACTGTTGAAAAGAATTTGCAGTCAGATTGTTCTAGCAGCTATTTCGACTGAAAAGGATACCAAATGAGCCAGCTTGCCTACATGAGGCAAATAGCTGAAGTCCTTGTGGGAGCTAGTTGCCACTGAATTTTCAGCTGGAAAAATAAGTAATACTTAGTCTTTTCAAAGTACTTGTTTATAATCAAATCTATTTAAAAACCAAGAGTTTAAAATAAAGCTCGAAAATACTTTTCAATTTACTGTAGCCTGAGTAGTAAATTGGGACTCCAACTGCCATAGTTTAAATATAGCAGTTGAGTTTCTAGCCTTAAAAATGTTTACCCACCGTCGGGGGTTATAACCTGTCTGAAAACAGGTAACACAAGAACAGAAGTATCTTTGCTTGTGTGCTTGTTCGAATAGACCTATGTAGTGCTGTTTGAAATGGTGAGCGATGCCCTTATGTTTCCCAAAGTATTGGTGCTGAGGCTGAGCTGATCTTTACCCTATTCCTTAAAGACCTCTGGGTTTCACACTGTCCTGCGCGGGAATGTCAAGTGATAACTCAAATTAGCTGCTGGATTATTTTTGCTTTGGAAATGAACAGAACCCCATGGTGACTAGGTAGTTGTCAGAGTAAATTGTAAACAGGTTTATTGTTTACACCTTGGCAAGCTGAGCCGCTTTCCAGTGCATTTCAGCATACCTGTAAGCTGCCAGAGAGCTGGTAATGCATGCTCTGTCACTCACTGCTTCACTGTGTAACTAAAATAATTGAGCTGTGCTGAATTGATTTCCTGTGCATTCAGTCACTGGTGCTGCTGTATGTTTCGAGGACTATGGTATTTCTAAGATGTGTGAATTTGTAGTCTTTTAACAGCATATTTCTAAGGGAAGAGCAATAGAAAATAATTTTATTATCGTAGAGTTGGTTTCATTGGTTTGAAATAAGGTTCTAAAACAGTAATTGACAAAACTGCTGCAGTTCAGTTAAAGTGGTAACTGCAAGTCTTCTGGAATTCCATTTTGCAAAACTGGCTAAAACATCTCTGAGTTTTGAGAGCTTATGTAAATGAGTGTTGTGTGTGTGGTGGGTTGTTGTTGTTGGTTTGTTTTTGTTTTTTTTTTTTTTCTTTGATGGGAGTACCTGACCTAGTACTGGTTGTGTATGCCTTATATCGCTAAGGTGAGAAGGGAGGTCAGAAGAGTCAGTGGTGTTCTTTAAGAATTAATGACATGGAAATTTTCAGTCCAAATTAGTAAACCTCAATAATAGGCATTTTGTCTGAAATTCTTCCTTGATATATTTTTGTTTTGCTCCTTTAGGTGGAACGTAGATTTCATGTTTCTAAATTTCATGGACCTGTGAACCTAAGTGAACTCTGCTCTGTTCTCTTGTCTTCAAATAATGCAGTGGTGAATTGTGTTCCCCGCAACTTGATTTCATAAATCCTTTCTAGAAAGGGTCATGTTTATAGCTCTATTGGAGAGTTAATGAACTCAAGATTACTGTATTTTAGTCTCTAGCTAATGAAGAAGAGATTTCGGGGGGGTGGGGGGGGTGGAACTTTCCCTTCTAACTTAAACAGGGGTGAAGTATTCTGCAGCAGTGCGCTGCTAGTGTTTGCACAGTTACCCTGGACGTGATACATGTGGAAATGTGAGTTACTTCGTTTTTGCGGTCAGAGAGTCGCAAATCAGTTGTTACTCTGGCTGCAAATTAATGTAGTTGTGGTAAAAAAGAGATTCTTGCTTTTGTAAATATGTTGCTATACGAGGTGATACTTGACTGGATCGGTATGTTGGTGATCATCCATTGTACAGGTAAAATGCTTGTGAAATTATAAAAGGTAGACTGCAGATGAAGGAATTGCTCCTCCGACGTTTTTCCGGGGGGTGGGATGGGGGGGTGGAGCTCAAGCTTAAGCTTAGAAACTCTTATTTTCTTCCTTACAATTTCATAATCATTCTGGGCTCAAAGTGTTTAAATTTAAGGCTTAAATTTTAGAGGTGTGAAATTGAGAAAGATTATAATTGAGGTACACAAAATTGGTTAAGATCATGAAGATAGCTGGATAATAGGTGTTGTCAGTGACTACATTTTTAATACTTCAAAATATAAGTATTTGAATGATATCTGGACTAGAATATTGACCTAAAGAGCATTGCTTATGACATTGTAAATCTAAAACATTGTTATTTTTATCAATTGTCAATTTATTATTGCAATGATCTGTTAGCAGTAGGATTAAAGTATTGTTATGTTCAGTATTCATGAGAACAATATCCTTTTCCTCTTGTAAGAAACCCTGCTTTCAGTATTATTTCAGTGCAATGCAATTGGCTTCCAGCTGATGTTTTGCAGTTGTGGTGAACTGTTAGCTGGCAAAATAGCATACTATCACTGTTCTTCAGAATTAAATAAGGCTAATTCTTAGGAATTGATTTTAATTAAAATTGCGTGTATTTTGAGAGTCCTTAAATTCTTTTGAGTAATTGTTTAGACTGGGTTATGAACTAGCTTACCTTTTGTGGGAGAGATTGATCTTCACTGTTTAATTTTTTTTTTTGCATATTTTTTTTTGTCTGTAATAATGGCATTTTTTTTAAAGGAAAATTTTGGGGTTTTCACTAAGGTTTGAGAAAATACTGAGCGAATACTTTTTAACCTTTCTGTTGACCTATAGTAAAGTGACCACTGTAATTGTGGTGTTGCCACTTCAAACTGGACACCCCTCACCTAATATATTGAAAGTTATTAGCTGCTATTTCTGTTCCAAACACACAAGCAGTAGACGATCCTTTATATTAACTGGGTTCTAAAAAAATGGACTTGGAAAGTCTTTTTTTTTTTTTTCTAAAACCTATTAGTTCTCTCTCCATATTTTTAGAGTAAATTGTAAACATTCATGAGGCAGTTTGTCTTTATAAACAGAACTAGGCTGTCAGTCTACTGGTATTTTTCTTTGTTGTTTTCTGAAGAAGAAAAATGAGGCCTTAAGCTTGGCAATAGAAGGAGAATAGGACCCACTGAACAAAATCTTGTGGTGGCTTTTATCCAGTCCGTTGTTAACCCTAGCTAGAGTGGAATGTGGGGCCTTGGCTTGGAGGTGATCTGTGCCTGGATTACTTTGGGATCCTCCTTTTCCTACTGCCAGTGAGCTAGGAGCCTTCTGTCCCTCCTGAAAAAGAAGTGCCAATAACAAACCAATTTTTTTTTTTTTTTTCTTACAGCTAGACTAGTTGAATGTCTGGTGGGATCACAGAACGTCTTGCCTTTTCTATGTTTCTGTCTTAAATGATTCATACGGAAAGTTTATCTGTTTCTCAGGTGTTTATTTCTGATGTCTTTCAGACATGGTTGAACCACTTTGGTTAAAACGTAACCGGTACTATTCATGCTAGAGTTTTCCTTAATACATAGAGTATTAGTTTTTAGCCTGGATCTCATGATCGCAAGGTACTATGCAAATGTTTTAGCTGGTCACACAGTAGTGAAATAACACATAAAATCACCCCTGGAATAGGGGGAATTGGAAGTATCTTTGGTTTGAAAAACCAGTTACTCCTCTAATCAGCTGCTAGTTTGTCAGAATGCTACAGTGCACATGGCTCTTGAAGTCCTATGTTAACCGCTTTTGCCACGTTTTTGTATGTATTTGATGAATACAGATATATTAAGTGTAATAACCATACATGGCCTAACTGCAGACTCAGAAACTGATAGCACTGTACTGTATAGTACATGAGAATAAATACCTCAGGCCTCACTGTTGTGTCGGTGGGTATCAGTGGCCACTTAATGGCTGAACAGAAGCGTATGAATTTGTTACAGCATTTTAAATGAAATTGTTTCTTTTCCCTTAGGGACGAAACCCTTTTTTTCTGGAGCCAGCAATAATTATAACAGTTACTGATGGAAGTAAATTAACTACTACCAGTGGGATACAGGAAGAGGTAAGATCTGACCCCTGATTACAATGATGTGTACTAAACATTATGCTAGAATACTTCTTACAGGAGGAGCATAAATGATTCCTCAAAGGTATGCTCACAAGTACCTTAAACTTACGCGTTTTCTCATTTTAATTTAAGGTAGTTTTATGCAATAGTACTACAAAAATCTGAATAGCTTTTTCCTTACTGCATGTGACAGAAGCATATAATACAACTGTTGGTCTGCTTGGTAGACTCAGTTTGCTATTTCTGTCCGGGGAGTTCATGCCTTATCAAATATGTTAGCAGAAGAAAATGATTTCTGTAAAACATGCATGTCTGTAACTGGTCTAGATATAAGTTCTTTATGCATAGACCCAAATTAACAGAGTGATTTCCCAAAGGTTGTGATCACTAGGGAGCATGTGAAATATGTACTTCTTTCACACTGGGCTCTTAAAGTGTTTATAATCAAATCAGTAGTGTCCTTATAATCTAAGGTAAGACCTGAAGAAATTTATTTCAAATTAAATTTGTAGAGCAGTTTAAAACACCGGATCTTAATATACTGGAGTACCTGCTCAGACAACTCAGAGCTGTAGCAAATGCAGAGGCACTGAACTGTTGTAACTTACTGGCTGTTGCAAATTCTTTCCTTAAAACGATGAAAATGGTCACTAGGGATAGGGTTGGTCTGACCAGCTGAGTGCCCATTCCATGCAATAGTAAAAAACCCAAACAACAACAAAAAATAATGTATAAGCTCATTCCCTTTTTGGGTAAAATGTTAATATCTGAAGGTCTGTCCTAAAGTTTAAGGGAAGGATTCAGACTTCTCCAAGTGGTATGCCACATTTGACTATGCAGATTAACTTGTCATACATTGCTTTTATTAGTTACTCAAATTTCTCCTAATACTCTATTACTACATCGCATTCTTACAGCACTTAGACAAGTTGTTTGTATGGGAAGTGGTATTTGAATGTTTTTGTAATGTATCTGACTTAAAGGAAGAAAGGCGAATGATGTGATAGTTCTATGTGGACTACTAAAACACCAGCCATAGCCTGTAACTGAAAGGGAATGCCTGGATCCATGATACTAAGTAGGTTATCTGTATAAAATTTCTCTTCCATCATATTTTTTTTACTCAATAATCCATTTCCAGCTTTCCAGTGATTGGTTGGGCGTGCTCCAAAATGCTGAGTAGAATTGCAGCCTCGTATTTACAGTGGTTGTCAGTGAGAAGATGTTAATTACACAGAGGGTAGTGTGACACTTTCAGACCCTTCTACAACATCTAGCGCTGTGAGCAGTGGAATGCTGTTTGGGGTTTTTAAGAGCTAATTGGGTAATTACTTAGCTGTGTGAGTCCTTTCTTGAGAAGAAGCAACTTCTCTGCTGTCAGATGACTAACTCGTAAAATCTGACATGGATGTCCTGGAGTGAAGGACACCAGGATGCTCAGGGGGTGAAGGAAATGCCCTCTGGGTCGGGGCTGAGAGCTGGGTTTGTTCAGCCTTTAGAAGAGAAGCCTGTGGGGTGTGTGTGGGGGGGTGTCTTACCACCATCTGCAGCACTGGGGGAGAGAGCCAGGGCTGAGGTGAGAGGCAACAGCTGCAAATTGTACCTTGGGAAATTCTGATTGAATAGCAAGACAGATTTTAACTGTGTGGGTGATTGAACACTGACATAGGTTATCCAGTGGTTGTGAGATCTCCATCACTGGAAATGCTCAAAACTGGGTTGGACAAGATCCTGAGCAATCAGAAGGCTCTGGACTATATAACCTTCACATGTCTCTTCTATAACGTACACAGTTCCGTGATTCCACATTACATTTCCTTTCATCTTGTTCATTTATGCAAAATGATTTAGGTAAGAAAGTTCTGTTGGCTCTCATGAGCTCTTTTTCTTACAGCAAGAGTCAGAATTTTTTTATAGCCAGAAAGTTTGCGTTCCTTTTCCTTCAAATGTGGGTACAACTTTTTCACCTTTAGTCTTCATAAGAAGACATTTTCTTACAGTCAGGCAATCGTTTGGTCACATACTCACATACTTAAATTGTTGTAATTTACGTTGAGAAAATGGGTTTTCTGGTGGCTGCTTTAATCTAGTAAATTTAGGCTTGGCTCAGGGGTGGTGCTGGCTGATAAGCGTCTGCCGAGAGTTAGTGTCGTGATCATGTCACTGGGCCAAATTTGACATTTACATGATTTGATGGTTGTTAAACTACGTTCTAGAGACGCATAATCTGCTCTACTCATGATAGTGAACTAATGATATCTTGGTAGATGAGCAAATTTAAAGGTATTGCCTTTTGGAGGAAGTGAAAGTGACCACTGCTCCTACTTCCTGTAAGACAAAATGCAAGTTTCTTAGAGTACTGTTCCATATGTATTTACAGGGTATATATTTCATACCCAGCAATGGATGTGATGGGGTTTTTTGTTTTGGTGTTTTTTTTTTTTTTTTTTTTCTGTTTTGCCTTAGCTGTACTGGTAAGAACATTCTTAATGCTATCAAAGAGCAGGGGAACAAAGCATCCAAGGGTGCTTCTGCCTTTCAGGGATGATCTTTTGCTTTTGATAATGGGTCCTGTTGGTCAGAATTTTTCTTAATGTAGCTTAGGCAACCTTTACAGTTACCTCTTAAGTTGGACATGCAGAAACGAAGCAGAACTAATACAATAACACCAGCCTGCAGATACGGAAGTCCGTTCCTGCTTCAATGCATTCAATAACAAAGCTTTTCCGTCACTTTCAAATGTCTCTTCTGTTCTTTGGATGTGACTTTGGAGAGGCTTTGCAGAGTTGGTGTTGGAAGTGATCATATCCCACTGGCTATGACAACCGTGTTTTTACTTCCTGTGTAAAGTTCTTATCTTGGACTAAGGCAGTGCATTTTTAGTTCTTTTAAAACTTACGTACGAGAGAACTGACAGAACGTTGTTTTTTGGAAAGCCTGTGAAGCCAGCATGGAACCTGGAGGCAAGTTTTCTCAAAGCTTTGTCATTCAGATGAACATTTGCATTTTTACCAATGAAATCAGCTTTATCACTATGGGAACACTGTCATTTGCCCTAGTGTGAAGCAGTCGAGCTTAAAACCCATTTCAGAGCTCTTGCTGAATTCTTCAGATGTCCTGTTCCTTTGTGGAATTTCATAGGGGTTTTTCAGATAAAGAGCCTTACTCATTCAGCACTGCTTTGTCTCTGATGGATGTGGTTCCTCAGACTGAAGGCAGAAATGATGCAGTCTATGCAATTATCATCTCCATCAGCACAAGTTAGTAGGATTTTCAGTCCTGTCCCTTCTGGCACTGACTTCTAATGCACCAGTGTCAATATACTGAAGAGGGCCAGTGTCAGTTCTACATTCATCGTGGCATCTTGACCAGGTTCTTCCCTGGATTCACTTGTCCCAGACAGAACTGGAGGAAGGGATGGGCTTGTCCTGTTGGAATACCGTCATTAGTTATCGGTTACGTGCTATGGATTCCTCCTGGAGTGGCTTTCACTTATAGCCTGATCCCTCAAATTTGGTCTTAGCCTTTTCCCGATCTTTCCTTTTCTAAGTGTTTAATTGCTTGAGGGGGGTTCTCTTATTCCTCTTTATATTATGAAATAAAGTGTCATACTTCCCCAATTCTGCAGCTGCTGAGCTATGGTCCCTTGTCTTCCTTCTACATACCCTCTGTTTTAAGAGGAAGCATTAAACTGTTTGCAAGTATAAAACTGGGTTATTGACCTGTTGATACATTCTGATGAATGATTATGCAAACACAAAGCATGAGCAATGCTGCTTGGCTTCTGTATGTTGCCATTCTGATCTTCCAGTTGAGAGAGACTTAGAGGAGGAGTTGGTATCTTTTTTCATTGCTCATCCTAGAACTGGATGGCGTTGTCACACCGATCCTTCCCAGGCTTGATCATCTTGTATCCCTGCTGTAATAACTGTAACAAGTAGCAAGGTCCTGTTTAATTTCAAGAGTGATCAGGAACTGTAAATGCCCCATAATATTTTTAATTTTAGTTCCTCCTGCTAAAAAATCTTGATTTCTAAAAAAATTCTTCAAGAAATACGTGGCAGATCTCATTACATGTATGTTCCCATCCTTCCTTATCCATGTTATTCCTGTTGGTATCAGATGTCAGGATGACAGCATTTGGCCCTGAGCCCCGGAGCTCTTGATGTGTGAGTTTTGTGTAACTATCAGCTCAGTGTGCGCTTGCTGATGGTTAAAGATAGCATCAGAATGGCCAGATATATATGGTGTGTCAGTTTTTTCCTATGGAAAAACAATTTGTGGCTTTCTGTCTCTGTGTTATAACTTCGTACAATTGGATGGAAAAAGATAGGGAAACATAATGCTACTGTTAACTCTAAGTAGAGTTTCTCAGTCTACCGAGGGCTTGTTTTCTCAACTGGGCTTGTATCTTGTTGCCCATCCTTAGTCCTTCGGTCCTCTAAGGATGCAGTGCTACCTTTGCTTGGAATGTTCGATGTGTCTTGTCTTTTTATGGGTACCAGAAAAGCCTGCAAGGAAGGTTACTTACAGATAGATTTTTTTTTTTTTAGTATTTTTTTTTTTTAGATACAGGAAGACAGAGAAGTTGACTGTCTCTGTATGGATATTTTTATCGAGTACCTAATCAAAGGTAACAACCTTTTATGAGATTTCCCAAGATGGAGCTGCCTGTAATTACCTTGGTACTAAAGCTTACGCAGTGCTAGCGCTGCCCAGTGTGATGTATGAGCCTGTATGTGCAGTCACTCCCAGAAGAGCATTGCTCTCATTCACCAGCTACCATGCCACTGCAGAGTTCTCTAGTGCTTGCCTAGGTTTTATCCAACCTGGCGTCTCTAGCATCCTCTGATGTTTTTTGAGGATTTCAGACTGTGCTGCTGCTGATGCTTGCATAAATGTGTGTAGAAGCCAGGACTCAGAATAAACGAAAGACCTGCTTACCAATAACAGGGTTCTTCCAGATCTCTTCAGTAAAAAGGTGGTCTTCCAACCCCTCTTGGTTCTTGAACGTGTTCGTGGATTTAAGGGCAGGGAAAGAGGGGCAATAAGACACACACTGCTGTCGTGTTGTAGCATTATGCCATTTGGGAATGGTAGGGTTTGTGTGGGCTCCTACCAACTAGTGTTGAGACAAAACAGCTGCTTTTTAGTACTAAGCTGGTAGGACACTTGTGTGTGATTATAAATAGACACCATGTTGAAGAGCATAGCTGATAAATCACCTCCCTTTAAACTGTTGGGTCTATCAGTTTCTTAACAACTGATACGAAGGACAAAGAGGAAAAGATGTGCATGCCTTCATATACAGATATGTGTGGGGAATGAGAAACTAAATGCAAGAGGTACATTTCTAGGCAACATCTTGTTTTCTGCTAGGTGTACAGTTGCTATGGTAATACAATACCAGTTTAAAAAAAAAAAAAAAAAAAGTAACTGGAGGTGAGAAGACCAAGTTACTAATGTCTGTGAAGAATGAGGCACGGTGTGAATCTGTAACTTCTCCAGTAACATGGATGTTAAACTTAACTGGAATTAAACTGTGGGAAAGGAAGTGAGGACGTTTGACTTGATGCTGATGGCTTTGCCTGTCATCTCACAGCTTGAAAACGCTTCTGATAGTAATATGTACATAATACAATATCATTCTCCTGAGTAATGTTTGGTTTTGGGGTTCTCTCAATATAATCAGCTGAGCCAAAGAAAGGTTTTGTAGTTCGAGGTAGACTGAACTCAGGATAGTGTTGGTACAGGGTCCAATGGGATACTTATATATAGAAATGTATTTAAAAATATGTATTTATGCTGCCTGAAGGAAAATAGTGCTGTCACATAAGTATGTTTTGCAGATGAAATGTACTCTTCAGAGCTAGTAGATCTTCTGTTCAGTCAGATCTAAACAGGAAAGTTTGGTGAATGGCATTCCTTAATAATATCCCCAAGTGAGGATGGGGTAGTGCTGGCACCTGAGTCCTCTTACAGTCAAGATTTTAGGCTGTTTACGAGGAATGTGGCTGTTCTTTTAACTGGGTTTCCTTTGCCAGGCAGGCATTGCTGGCCCTTTGTGTGAAAAGGGGCAAGACATGCCTGTAAATCAGTAATAAACCAGGTACATAGCTGAGTGTCCTTTGACCAATTTCATGTGAAACATTTGGGGAAAACAGTGCTCTTCTCCCATGGGCTCTCAGCTTGCATCAGCAAAAGCAGAAATTCAGGAGAAAGCATCAGGTGTGCTGAAAAGTCCAGCGTGTTCTGATTCTTGCTCACGTGTTACCAGAGTGGGTTTGTTGTGTTTGTTCCTGACCTTCAGATTGTATCAATAAATTGATTTATCTTTCAAACATATATACATGTATTTTTCCTGATATGTGATGCTTGCAATTACATAAAAAGAAATAGCTGACGTTTCCAATTTGGAAATTAGGTTTAATGCTTTCAAGTTAATCTCTTAAAAATAAGCAAATAAGAAAGCTTTTTCAACAGCTTGTTGCAAACTCCTTAAGTAACCACTATGAACTCACAAAGAAGGCTGTTTCTAATGGGTGCTTTTGGGGACTCGCATCAAGTTCTGGAACAGACTAGTAATTCCCTTTGCGAACGCTGAATTGAGATTGAGAATTGAGATTTTTTTGAATGCTGCATGAGAAGGAAAGTGTTTGAGGAAGAGTCGAGTTTGCTTCAGCTTCTGGGTTTAACCCTTGTATTTAGCTAGGTAATGGAACTGTTTCCACCACTTGAGTCATTACTTCAGGGATTTTTTTCTTCCCCTTTATGGCTGTAGAGCTCCAGGTGAAATGAGAATTTTTCTTGTACTGATGGTGATATCAGCAGGGGATCTATTAAATTTTTCTGAAACTTGTAGAATCTTGTAATTACCAGTTAGAAGTATAGTCTCTCTGTTCAGAGCTCCTGTAGTTGAATGTTTTGATAAGCTTTCTTTTTCCCCACTAGTCTTGGTGTGAGGTATCTGGATGCAAAAAGAGAGGCTAGAGTCTTCTGCATGTCTTGTGCATCCCTTAGAAGCTAATGCATTGGTGTTTCATGTGTTTTGTTTTTTTTTTTTTTTTTTTTCTTGTTTCAGTTAACTAGTTATAAAACTGGCAGCCCTGGGAATTTTAGAAGTTCAGTAGTTGGTTTCTCTGGCTGCTGCTGTTAGTGGTTAATAAATGATGTCCTGACCATTGCTGTATCTTTAGTGCAGCATGTTTGAAGTCTGAAACTTGAATCTCTTTCCTGTCTCTTCTGGGAGTTAAAGTGGAAAGAAATGCTCCCATGTAGCGCACGTCCCTGGATGGCATCTTCAATATTTTGAACTAAAACTTTTGTGTAGTTCTTCCCAGACAGAGGCCACACAGTGGCACATGGCAAGCAATTGTCCCTTGTATGAGTACCCGTGGCTACTGTTATCTATTACCTAAAAGTAAGAACTCATTTTGCATTTCAGTTTTGATTTTAATCTTTGTTTTTCACTTAAACAGTCATGAGTTTAGTTGCAGGATATACCTAAGTTATATAAAATGTCTGCCTTCTGATTCTATAACATAGCTACCACGTTAGTAAACTTGGTGAAGCTGAGTTATTTGGAGTAGGTGATCCTGGCAGCTAGATTTTTTTCTTCTTTTGGAACTATACCCAAGTTATAATTTTTTTCTGCAGGAGTCTTAGATTAACATTACCTTTTCATTCAATTGTGCGTTTTATCTTGAAGAATCAAGGGAGAGACTGAGATGAGAATGGGCATGTTCTGCAGAAAACTGAACAAAAGAACACTGCAGTGAAGCAGTTCTTACTGCTGAAATTCTAAAGAAAATATTCTATTGATTCTGAAGTTTAGATCAGTTTTAAAAAGTGGTTGTTCCCACTTGGTTTGTAACTCTCAACTTTGTGCATCGTGTTGCCTTGAAATGTTTGAAGTGTTCATTAAATGATGGATGTCTTGCCTGTAATGAATCAAATTATAAATACCCGGGTAGAGGTTATAAGTGTGGTGATGTAGAGTGCATTGCCATCGCTGTGTAACCTGAATTGATTTTTTGAATTCAAAAGCCATATAGTCACAGCTTTAAATTCCTTTTCAGCTCCATTTACCTCTCAATTCCCCTCTACCTGGGAGCGAGTTGACTAAGGAACCCTTCCGATGGGATCAGAGGTTATTTGCTTTGGTTCTCCGTTTACCTGGTATCACAGCACCGGAATGCGAGCAGATGACGGGGGTACCCGTGGATGACTCTGCAATCACACCCATGTGTGAAGTCACAGGAGGTGAGTGCCCTGTTTCCTTCAACAAGTCAATACCTTTGAAAATGAAAACGAATTCAATTCAGCTCTATTAATTCTGTACATGTGGTGGAATAAGTATTTCTAAGTTCTTATGTTACTTGTGAGAACTCAGAAATCTGATATAATAAAACTGAAGACACTTATGGCATTAGATACAGATAATTTAAAGTAACTTGTCTTGGAACAGTAGGAATCTACTTTCTTTAGCAGTTTTTTAGAAGATAAAACTCACTTTTTTCTAACGCACCTTGGTATCATAATTAGGGATTGTAAGAATTGAGTCCGTTCTGCAGTATGATTTTGCTAAATTCCTGGCATACTCTGATATAAAGCAAAAAGTGAAGGAAATGTTGTTGGTTGTTTTTTTCTTTTTTTTTTTTTTCCCTTTCCTCCAGAGCATGTGGAATGCAATGCAGAAGTTATACAACACAGAATGTATAATTATTGTGCAAAATTGATGCTTCTCTATCCATCATAACTCATATTTTTAATCTCTTGGAAATTATGTTCCAGATCAAACTCGGGTATTAATTTTATAATTTCTTTGTAAAAGCGCTTGATTGCGTCACATTAGAAACAACAATTCTGCTGATGCCTCAGAGGGGATGTGATAGGAACCGGGCAAAGAAATTGAAAAAGGATTGGATTCCACTGCTTCCTGACTGTAGTGTAGGCTGCACCAACACTGCTTTGACTGAAATTGGTGAACAGTTAAATGTTGCTCTCTGTCACAAGGGGGAGCCCATTTTCCATGAATGCAGCCAAGAGTTTGAGTTAAAGTGATCAAGGAGCGAAAACCCAGACGTTTCCAATGAGGTGCATGTAACTGTCACTTCTTCACTAGGCTGCCTTGCTGCTTAAACAAAGCGGGAGTGTTTGGAAGAAGCTTTAAATCCCTGATCCATACGTAAATCAATGTGTGTGGCCGGTGAACATTATTGAGTGATCCAAGTTAAAAGAAGGGCAGAAACGCTGAACAGTCTTAACCTTGACTGGTTTGTTCTAGGTCGATCATACTGTGTGTGCTCTCCAAGAATGCTGAATCAGTGTCTTGAGTCATTGGTGCAAAAAGTGCAAAGTGGAGTGGTAATAAACTTTGAAAAAGCTGGACCGGATCCCTCACCAATTGATGGTACTTGAATTTTTTTTACACTGTGATAGCAAGTAGCAGCAGTGGCTATCAATAGCATTTAGTGACCTTAATGTAGTAGTTGCCAAAACAATAGGAAAACTGTTGCAATGTGAAAGACGTTACTGCAGTAAGAACCTCCCACATCTGAAATTTTGTTGTACTTTTTCAAAATACTGGCTGCAGCTCCTGGGCACTAGGTAAAACCTCTACATTTGATCGTAGTACTAAGGTAGTCTTAAACGCAGTTATTCACATCAGTTAAATGGATTCATGAGTTTTAAGCAGTAGCTTTTGCCCAGCTAGAAATGTAAATAGCTTGATATGGAAATACCGGGGGTTTATACACTTACCCTTTTTTGCTTAATATAGTCAAGTGGCTGCATTAAGAGTTAAAATAGCAAATGCAACTGTGCAGCCTTAACCTTGTTCGAAATGGCTTAGCTAGGTCCCTCTTGTGGGATTTTTTTAATCCTGCTTTGCTGCAATAAAAAGTTAGTCTAGCAGTATTAGTCATGTGTATATTATTTTTTTTTCTTTTTTAATGCATGGAAATTTGAAGGTTATCTGGTAATAAGTGGGAGGAGAGAGAAACTGATCATTATGAAGGAGTCTAGATAACTGGCTTTCTCAGCTCAGATCCTGTAAAGATTGAATGCTTATTTGGTTTCTCATCGCTTCTGGGTTTTTGCAGAAATGCTTCCTGACCACTGTCTGCTATTCTTAGAAATAATATTAACTGCAGGAAGAGCTTCCCTGGGGGGTGTAGTTCTTAAACTCTTCACAGAAGTTAATACTTGTTTTTTTAGTTTTAACGCTATTTTGACTGATAAAGCCTTTTTCTTCTGTAGATGGGCAGGTGGATATATCCAGACCTTTTGGACCCCAACCTTGGCACAGCTGTCACAAACTTATTTATGTTAGACCAAACCCTAAAACTGGGGTTCCAATTGGTCATTGGCCTGTTCCTGAATCTTTTTGGCCAGATCAGAATTCTCCAACGCTGGTACGTACTGAAGCTAGATAAAGCAAAGGGTTTGTGCGTGGTGGAATATTCCAGGATTTCCTACTCACTGGTTTTTAAACCTTGAGATACCTATTTCATTGTAGCTACTGTAAAGTCAGTGTGACCCAAGAAGGAATGACACGTGTAAACCTGTGTTGCACTTCCCTCGGATAAATTAGGGATGATCAGATAATACCCTGGGCTTTGTTTTTTAGTAACTTTGAAGCGTTAAGAAACTGCCTGCAACAGATTGATTTGTCAACCTAGTACGCGCAGGTGGTGTTTCTGTTTGAACTCTGTTAAAATACCAAACCAGAAATAAGGTGACACTTGGATAATATGCCATCAAATTCTGTTGCCTTGCAGAGGGTATTAATAGAAGATAGTATGATCTTCCCAATTCTGAATCCTTGTGATAGTTCCGTCTTCATTCTAGCAGGTGAATGTAATTTCATCGGCTCTTGTTCATGTAGCCATACCTTCAATTTATCCCGAGTAGAGAAACTCACTTTATTTTTTTTTTTTAATATGCAACCCACAGAATGAATTTTATTTGTTCTTTTTCATAAAGGAATGCATGCCACTTCCTTTTGTTTGGTCTGAGAACTAATCATGAGCGAACTACTGTGTATTTTTGTATTTCTGCTAATCTTTGAGAATCATGAAAGGAGAAATAATGCAGTTGTATAACTGTTTCCTACATTTCATGATGACTTTTATTGAATTTTTGTGGTTCTGTTTGATAGGAAGCTAGTGTGCTGACTAGCAAATCATTGAACTTCTCGTAAATTTTGTCTCCTTTGTTTGAAAAATATATGAAGTCCTTTGAAATACAGGTTGTTGAGGAGTGGTACAAATATGAAGTCTTAGTCATATTTACGGGTTTGATGCTGGTGGCGTCTGTGAGCACGTTCATTGAAGGATGTGGATGCCCTTCTGAACTACAAAGCAAGCTAGTGTATATGAAGAAAAGTAAATCATCTGTAGTCATTTAAAACCAAAATGTCATTGTGTACTGGATAGTAAAAAGTTGCTCTGTAGGAAAACTATCCTGTGTACTCCTTGTAGTCACTATCAATGACACATCTACCTCCAGTCACTATAGAAAGTCAGTACAGTTTGCTACTGCAGTTCTTGACTGAGATTGCTAAAATAGATCTTGCCAAGTGAAGAGTTTTGGAACTAAATCTGCTAAAAACATGAGGTTGACTTGCTCAAGTGGTGAGAAGATGAGAGAGAATTCTTCTCTCGGCTGTAGCATATCTAACTCAGAACTGCATAAAGCACTGGGATTATTGCACGTGCAGGTAAATTCCTGGTGATGTCAATTGGAATTCCACATTGGACCTTCCTCATGTAATGTTGGGGAGCTAAGTTTGCTGATACTGTTTCAAGACTTGTATTTCCTTATTGTTCTGAAAAAACAGTGTTAAAATTTATCATATATTGTAACTCTTGTCTACTTGAGAGTTCATAGTTAGATATTTTTCTTTTCCTCCCTGTTACCTGAGCCACAGTGGAGTTGTCTCAAACATTCCTATCCCAACAACTGTTTCAAGTACTGTAGGTCATGATACTGCCAAGGCTTTCTTAAATGTATATGTAGGTCTGCTGATAATTATGATGGCAGATCAATATGTAAATGGCCGCTCCCACTTCTCCAAGGTAAAAGTAGTTCCGCCGTCCAGCCAAGGGTTATTGGACTTATCAAGTCTTAGCATTCAACTTCTTTTGCAGCCTTTAATTCCTACTGTAAGTGCTACGTGGCTTGGTCACAAACTCCACCACAACTCTTTACTGGAGGCATCTTCTTTGAAGAGAAATGCAGTTCCTTCAGTTGGTTGGGCCTCCTGTGTTGTGTGCACTGGGACAGTACACCTTCCTCAGAGTGGAGACACTCAAGGCAAGACCAGCTTGGTGGGCAGTTGATATTTGGGTGGCTCATCCTAAAAGGAAGAGATTAGACCTTATAGATGTAGAAAAATTGCTTGCAGGGTGAGGTGGTAGGGAGGTCCAAGAAACCCTGTGTTTCCCTGGTTCATTTTATGTATTTATTAGTTACCTTCTTGTAAAGAGAGTAAATGGAAGGAGGCTTCCCAGTTGAGCTCTTCCCCAGATTCTAGTGGCCTTGGAGGAGGCTCAGGGTAAGTATAAGAGCGTACGTTCCTCTCCTGAAAACACTTCAGTGGAAGGCGTACAGCTTCAGTTTTCCTCACACACAAAATGACAGCTTTCCAGCAAAAGAAATTTCAGATATGTTGTTAACTTACACTTGAAACTCAAGGCACAAAGGCCTTTTCCCTGTGATTAATAAAATGGAAAAAAAAAAAAATAAAAATCCAAACACTTAAATTGCTTCCATTGAAATAATTTTTCACAGGCCCAGTTACAGTGTGAGTTCTTCTAAAGCTTGTTTTTTTTCTGAAATCATGTTGCTTTTGGTCATTATAATTCAGTTTGAATTTTGTAGCTGTTAAATTTGCTAAGAAGGAAAAGTGCTGGAGGAAGTTGGCAAATACAAAAGTAAAGCGCCTGCTTCTGTAGGGAATAAAAAATGGGCATGCCCCAGAGTAACATTGAAGACTTTTTTTGTCCCCACTGGGATTTAGTTCCATTTGCAAAGTTTTTGTGTATGTGCAAGAAGTGTTACTTGTATTTGGTTCCAGACTTACTAGGTAAAATAATTAGCGTTTATCTAGAAAATAAGATTCCTTCAGATTTGAAGACAGTGCTGACATCCTGAATTAGTTGCTTAGGACTTGCATACAATAAATATGACTACTGTATTGATTAGGATCCTTAAATATGCGTGTTTACAAAGAACCTATATTACTTCAGTTGTTATAGCACATTTGCATTTTAATCGTTGTGCAGACTTATTAACAGTGGAATGCTTACATTTAGCCACCTCGCACATCTCATCCTGTGGTGAAATTTTCCTGTACTGACTGTGAACCGATGGTCATTGACAAACTGCCTTTTGATAAATACGAGTTAGAACCTTCACCACTGACCCAGTTTATCCTGGAAAGAAAATCCCCTCAGACCTGCTGGCAGGCAAGTAGAGTGCATGCTGAATTGAAGTTACTTATCGAATGCTGTTTTTCATAGACCTTATTCTATAATCAAAATAGGATATAAAATTTCAGCATAAAATATTTGGGATTTACGTGCAATATAATGTGTTTTCTTGCAGGTATATGTGAGCAATAGTGCAAAATACAGTGAACTTGGTCACCCTTTTGGTTACTTGAAAGCTAGTACAGCGCTGAATTGTGTGAATTTATTTGTGATGCCTTACAATTATCCAGTCCTCCTTCCACTGCTAGGTAAATACCACTTCAGAAGAGTTTTCCTAGGTGATAAACAGTTCAAAAATGATCTCCTCTAAATAGATTACTGCAGTTAATGCCAGTATTAATCACACACCTGTAGAAAGGTAGCATGTTGAGCAGTGCATTTGTAATCAGTAACTTTCACTTGTCACCGCTTGGCTGGCCTTCACGGCTCAGACTCAATGTGTAAGATTATTTACTTAATCATCATTCTTTCAGATATGTTCTGGTCTTGCTTTTTTCATTATTTTAGGAGTAATTTCTCCCAATCTCTTGTTCCAATTCATCAATTCAATTTGATAAATAATTTACCAGGTTCCATCTTTTGGCTGCAACATTAATCGTGCGTGTGTGTATATTTAGTTTAGTTGTATATATGTTAAAATACACACATTAGTTTGTGCATTGAGGAATTGACATTTCTTTGACAATTTCTTTTACTAGAAAAAAAAGATGCAATGCTGTCTAGACATGCTTTTCATTTTGGCTCTCTTCTTTTTATAATCATCAGATGACTTGTTCAAAGTGCACAAGGCAAAGCCTACACTGAAATGGCGACAGTCATTTGAAAGCTATTTGAAGACAATGCCTCCTTATTATCTTGGGGTAAGACTGCTTACCGTGTTAAAATTTATATTTTATTATGTAATTACAGTTTTTCCGCTATGTATGTATGTGTTCCCTATTTCAAGTGGAATACGTATTAATTTAAGAGCGAATAGCTAAACTTCTTGCATAATGATACTGTTTTCACTGGAGTCCTGTGGAAGGCTTGAGACCTGAATGTTACGAAAATTTCATCAGCTGTGACTCGTATATAAATGGTATCTCTGTTAATCAATTCCTGTATGAATAGAACAATGCTTTTAAACACCCCAAAAATGCTGCCCTGGAAGTCTTTATTTTTCTTCTTTTCTAACTTGGAGAACCTCAGGTTCTATTTGAAATAGATACAGTTAGTTGAAGTATGTAGACGATGCTTATAAAGTTAAATATGACTATCCACTATATTCTGTGTTTCAGCCTTTGAAGAAAGCTGTGAGAATGATGGGAGCACCAAACCTTATAGCTGACAATGTGGAATATGGACTTAGTTACAGTGTCATTTCATATCTCAAAAAGTTGAGTCAGCAGGTAATGTTGAAGCAAAAGAGCAGTCAAAACTTATTCTAATATCAGGATAATCTTAAAATGCTCAAGTTCAATGGCTTTGAAGGAAAAAAGAGCAGAGAGGTCAAGTTGATACCTTCCCATAAGCAATTAACGAAAAAGCAAGCGTTTTGGTTTTCTGAATTGAAGGGAAACTTAACGTTTAAATATGAACTTCATAGTCTGGACTATAAAGATAAATATGGAGGCACAAACTGAGATTTTTTTTTGTATTTAAAGAGCATTTTTACTTGTACAGACAGTAACGTACTTTTGTCCAAAAGAAAACATGTTGTCTTACCTTAGATATTAAAGATGTTGTAGCATTTTTTCAGAAAAGAGAGATTTGTGCTTTGCGCATCTGAATCAAAAGGTGTCCTTTCTTTGGCTTGTGAAATGAAATGGAAAGTCTTCAGTAAATATGAAGTAAACCGATGTAATTCAGAATCTCAAGTAAGGATACAGACGTGGCAAGTGACCTTTTGAAATTGTTGACTGTGTTCAGAATAGTGCCCGTATCTTTGACTAGTCTCCTGCACCAGCTAAAGCATTTCTGCCCTGCTACCTCCCACTTCTATTTTGTTGAACTGTGCATGTTAAGCTTTCTTGTCCAAGCTAATAAAATGATGCAGTAGGCTTGAAACTTTAAGAAACAGTAGTGCAAGTCTTTATAAGTTAGCTAATGAGTCCTTCTGGACCAGCTTTTTCTTAAAGCATTAATATCGATTACTCTTTGAGGAAGCAAACCTCTTGAAGTTTACAGTATATCCTATGAAATTATAGTCACACTGCTCAATGACTGTGAACTGATCTCTCAACCTAGACGTCTGAGACTCCTAAAGTGTAATGACATGCACTGCAAATTGTACTTGAAGCTTTTCTGACTTCTGAAAGGTACTGCCGGTAGAGACGCAGTATTCCTAATAGCTACAGCCTCAAATTTTGAGTAGTCTATAAATTTATGGGAAACTGCAAAGCCAACATTGGCAGGTGTATCACTAAATTGCTTTTGGCTCTTTGTCCAACTGTATTTTGCCAAAAAAGCTGGCATTTATGAACATGTTTAATTTTGGTACAAATCTAACATAATATTGGGGGTTAGGTCTGTCTAGTCAAACAGAATTGGGTATTATGTATTTAATATTTGATAACGTTTTGACTATTCATATTGGGCTTTTAAAAAGCTGATACCACTGTGTGACTGATCGCAACTATAGTTGTCGGAGAATCGGTCTTTTGGGAGTTCTAGCGTTCAGCTGTAATCATAGAAAACAGTGTATGTGAGTACAGATAGATTTGCAGATAATTACTAGTCCAATTATGATAATTTATGAAAATAAAAGCATTGCATGCATATTGGTGCTTAGATGCCATAATGGGCAGCAGAGGAGAAATATGCAGAAGACCTAGGCACAAACTGTTGGCTGTATTTAAAATTGTAGTAATCATTAAGTGGTTATGTATTAAGCACTCCTTAAGCACTCATCCTGGTAATGGTCGTCATAGTGTATTAGCACATTGTTGAATCTTCTAGGTAGGAATTTAAAATGAATAAGTCTGACTAATCCTTTTAAGAGCATATTGTCAATTTTATTTATTTATTTATTTCAAATTAAGGCCAAAATAGAGTCCGATAGAGTCATTGGCTCTGTAGGCAAAAAGGTAGCGCAAGAGACTGGAATTAAGGTCAGAAGCAGATCACACAACCTGTCTATGGCACATAGGAACGATTTTCAACATCTGCTACAGGGGATTACTGGGGAAATTCCTCATAGACCTCTAGACCTCAATATGAAGGAGTATGCTGGGTTCCAAATAGCTTTGCTGAATAAGGTAAGCACCACTGTGTGTAATGTTGTTATTTTCAATATACTTCCATTGAAATGCTAGATATTGTTTCATACATGGTATTAATTGGGACTTTATTTACTGGAACCGTAGGATTTGAAACCTCAAACTTTTAGAAATGCTTATGACATACCCAGAAGAAATCTTTTGGATCAGTTAACACGAATGAGATCTAATTTACTGAAGAGTACTCGCAAGTTCCTCAAAGGACAAGATGAAGGTCAGATAACAGTTTATTTTTTTTGTCTACTCATGATATGATTGGTATTAAAAAAAATGAAGTCTTTAACGAATAGTGTAGTTCTTGAAAACTTAGTGGATGTCTGATACTGCCATTAAACTGTATGTGGTTTTAGATTTTTTTTTTCCTGAACTCCCTTGAAGAAAAAATGGTGAGGATAGAGAAGATTGCCCATTCACTGCTCTGTCCTTTAGTTCCGTGTGAGGAGACTTGGGCTTTTACATCAGATCCTTTGTTCACTGTTTCTTTCTGACTTCCATGATGTTTCTGAGAAAAACAAAAAACAAAACAAAAAAAAAAATCAAAGAGCAGTTCCGACCATCATAATGTCTCTCCATAGAAGTGGATTGTGAGAAGTAGAAAAGTAAGCTTGCTCACTGGGTGCTGCCAGTATGATTCTTTTGCCCTTTAGCTCGACAATAAATAGTTCAGTAGTCTGCTCATTTATTCCTTTACCTGTGTCTTCTGGCACTGTTCTATGGCATCTAGCAAAAAATGATGAAATAGGTGGAGAAGCGAGTAGGACAATGCAAGTGAAAGTACATGTTACATTAGGCCTGCCACTACTTAGGTCAGATTAACATCTGTGATCAAGTAATGTGAAACGCAGAAAAGTTGCTCTTTGGAGAGGGGATTAAACCACATGAAAACTAATGTTGTGGGTTTTTTGGTGTTTTTTTTTTTTTTTTTTTTTCCTTGCTATTTCTGCCAACGTATGATTTGCTTGATCAAAGGCTTGGCAACTTTAAATCCACACCAAGTCTAGAATCAGATCCGTATTGATTGCAGTGGTCAAAAACCACCAGTGCTTTGGGAAAATGCCAGTCTCAACAATTACGTTTTGGGTGGCTGAAATTGGGTAGGGTTATGTCAAAGCTGTATGCAGCATTGCATTACTACTTCAGGTTAATGTGCCTTTTGTTTGTAGTAATGTTGTAGCAATAATTTGTTCCCAGTCTAAGTTTCTTCACCCATCTACCCTGTTGAAAAGTTACAGGACACATTGGAAAACTAACATCTATGCATGACAACTATTGCTTATTTCCCTGTCCTGATAAATACACAAGACATGTACTGATTCACTTAAGTTTCCTGCGCTCAAAACATGATGTTAGAAATACCAGTTGTGCAAAACTTACCGTTACTCTTTGCCTATCTATTTTGTTAATGCATCTGAGGAAAGGTGGAAAGCTAGGTGTGAAGTGGGTATAGACTAAATTCTCATAAGGTGAGCAGTATCATATATTAATAAGCCCTTTTGTTATGGTAGATCAAGTTCACAGCGTACCTATAGCACAAATGGGAAACTACCAGGAGTATCTAAAACAAATACCTTCTCCCCTCCGAGAGATTGATCCTGATCAACCACGAAGGCTTCATACATTTGGCAATCCATTCAAGCTGGACAAAAAGGTGACTTCTGTTTAAAGCTTTTTTAAAAATGTGCTCTTGTGTGAGTGTGTGTGTGCTGCTGAGTTAGACCCTTCAAAGAGCAATGTATTGGATAAAGACTTTCAAGTATTTGGGAAAGTACTGCTTACAAGAAAGCATCTCGGATGGTTTTCCCTCAGTAGTATCCTATGGAGGGCAGTCTTTACTGGAAAACCAATATTATGCCTCGGAATGGTGTTATAAATGAAATATGTTTGTCACTGTAGTATAGCTAATACCTGATCATGTTTCCTTTAGCGAACTTCCCCCGCAGGAAGCTTCCCATAACTTTGAGAGCATGGACTCTCTTTCGTCCAAAGCTGTCTCGGACTTCAGCAAATTCCCAATATCGTTTAGAGCTGTTATTTTAAATGTTTGAGTCATTTTGCAATTACCAAAATGGAAGTTTGGCAGCCCACTCAGTTGTCTTGCTGGGCGGACTGTTGGATAAGGACCTTAAGCATATTGATACAGTCTAGAAAGAATTTGGTCAACACCTGAGAATTCAGTACCTAGTGGCACGTTGTATATAGTTGCCTTATATGTGGCCATCATCATCACAGCATCAAAGCATTAATTGTATTTTCTATTGTGGGGTTTGGGTGTAAAGCTTAAGAATTTTCCCCATTAAATTAATTTCAGGGAATGATGATAGACGAAGCGGATGAATTTGTATCAGGACCTCAGAATAAACATAAAAGACCTGGAGAACCAAATATGCAAGGGATTCCGAAAAGACGACGTTGCATGTCCCCCCTGCTCCGAGGCCGACCACAAACTCCTCCGGTTGTGAATAACCACATTGGAGGAAAAGGGCCACCGACACCCGTCACGCAAGCACAGCCTGACCTTGTTAAACCTATTCCTATTCACAAAAGTAAGTGAATCTTCATCTTTAGAGAGCTCATTTTTAATTTATGCAAAAAACCTCCTTGCTTACGTAGAAATACCATTGGCTGATTTCCCAAACACGGCAATTTTATCCCTCGCTTTTGAAAATGACGCATTTAAGGGTGCATCTGGGGTTAATAAGAGAAAGAGTTAACGTAGTCCTTCCCACAGAAGTCTTTCATGTGAACTTCCCAGTATAAACCTTGTATTTCCTGTATTAGATGAGGAGATAATGTAAACAGTCAGAAGGGTGTTCTTCCTTTGCTTGGCAATTCACATGCTCCAGGAGTGTCACAACATGAAGTTAATCTGATCTTTGCTGTAGGGCAGTGAAATCGCTTCCCTTAGTGTGGAGCTGAGGTGCTGTGTAACAGCCTTGCTCACTGCTGAGCACTAAAGTAAACTTGGTCAGTTCAATTTAATGGGGAAAGACATTTTACAGGTGCTTTTTCTTCTGTCGGTAGGTCCATATAGCAACTTCCCTTTTCACATAAAGAATATACCTGTGACTTTTTTTTAAGCCGTTAATTGCCAGGAAATATAGTCATGTGCTCAGTGTTACAACCCAGAAAAACATTTTCCTATGCCTGGCATCTACGTTAGACTACACAAGCTGGAGCATAGCCTTGCAAGAGTTTAATACGGAACTGACTCGTTGACTTCTATCAAATGATAAAGAATCTGAAACTGTCAAGTGTAATCTTTGTTTTTTCAGCATCAGAAACAAATAACGAGGTTGCAATGGATGATGTGGTTGAGAATCATGTTACAGACCCACTCTCATCAGACATTTTCCCAAATTCTGTGGATCCAGAGTTTTCAATGTCCTCTTCTTCGTTCAATTCGTTGGATCGACCGGCAGCTCATACAGAAGATGTAGTCCATGAACATTTAGGGAATAACTTGAATGTTGATGGGTTTTTGGAGAATCATGAGGAATCAGGTAGTAAAGAACAAAGTACCGATGAGAACTTGCCAATGTCTTCACCCAGCAAAGGGAAAAAACCAGTGCATTGCAGAAGTTCCCGAGAGGTGAATATAGAGCTAAGAGCACAAATTATGAAAGAGATCCGAAAACCAGGAAGGAGTAAGTATGCCTGATCTGTCTTTCAGTTGATTGGCACGAGAACTAGACAAAGAATTCATATTAGATCACTATTTCAGAAACGTACTGAACCATGAGACTGAGGCAAAATAAATATAAAGATGAAAAGATTTGTTTTAAAACTGCTGCTAAAAGCTTTCTGGATGAGTGATTAAAACATCGCTATACCTATCAGTGTTCATGAAAGTCAGGTTTTTTACATTATCAGTATTACAATTAACTTGTTAGGTGTTCAGTAATGTCCTCAGCTGCAGTATCCTGTGGTTTTTAATGTTAGTGTTCATTAAGCAGTATGTCATTGCTGCAGGCCTAGTTGATAGGAGGTACATCCTAACAGCTTACAAAAGCTGGATGCAGTCTGTTGCATCTGACTCAGATCTATTACAACAGGTACCTGTATAGGCATTTCTTAAGTAACTGATTTTGCTCTTCTCTGTATCTTTAAGAATATGAAAGAATCTTCTTTTTACTGAAGCATGTACAAGGAAGCTTACAAACCCGACTGATATTTTTACAAAATATTATCAAAGAAGCTTCAAGGTAGGTAACTGAATCGTATTAATCTTATAAAACTGAACCATGTACTGCCATACATAACTGCTTGACAGCTATGCAGCTCTTTGTTTGAAACTTGCCACATGATACTTTGCATTGCAAGTAAATAATTCCCTAGAAAAAAACAGAAAGGCATCAATTTCCCGATGTGTGTTGTTTGCCCAAGCTTACCTTTTTACCTCAGATTTTGTCTTTTAGAAGATCATTCAGGTTCCAAGGTTCAGGTGTGAGCGTACTGCTAATTTGAAATGCTGATGAACCTGCATATTACTGTGAATTAGGCTTTCAGAAGCCGCTGAAATTCCTTATTCTGCATCAACTCAAAATCTCACCCTAAAAATAGTTTTGAGAGCCAGGTATGCTCCATAAAGATAGATCTCTGCTCTTCAGATTTATTTCCTTCGTAGATACTGTAGTCCTGTCCGAGGCTGTGGAAATGGAAGGTAATTTGTCACTGGAGTAGAGAGACTTGCTGAGGATTTAAACCCTGTGCTGTTAATCCAGGTGGAAACTGTTCCTTACAGCATCCTTAGACTGACCATACTTGCTTAGCCTTCTACGTGTTTACTTAGAGGAAAGAAAGGAGAAACATATAATTATCATTGGAAACTATTGTATTTGAGTCAAAGTGAACTAATCATTCCAGCATTCCTCCTTGGATCATAAATATAGCTGTAACTCTGAGCCATATTTCAGAAGCCTCAAAGAATAGTTGATTTTTTTTTTTCCCCTCTAATCCACTTTTGTATTAGTGTTTTTCCTGTGTCATTATCAAACATATTTTATGATTAAATTAAAAAGTGATTTTTGGATAAAGATACGTTGAGAGTTGAAGGTACGCTGGACGTTGAACATGCATACAGCTCCTCTACCCTTCTACTGCCAGCACAGCAGGGCGTGTGGATTTATATAGATCGTGTTCTTCCTATAGCAACAATTCCTTTATCATGCTTTTGCTTGATCTGTCTTTATATCATCACCTGTCAGAGTTGTTCCACAGCCTGTGGTTTATACATGCTTCCTCACTGTCCCAGCACACCAAAACGTTACTGTTGCTCCTGGAGTCTGTGGCAGCCCTTGGTGGGATTGGAGTATTTGTGTCTCTGAGATTAGGGTCTCCAGATCACCTGCCGTTCTTATTTCTGTTGCACAGCCTCTCCACTCCAGTTACCTTGAGTTGACTCTTTCCATAGAAAATTTGGCAGTGGTTGAGTGTTGCGGTTGGATGTGTCAGAATTCAGTCCTGTCTCCCATCACAGACAACAGTTTTCTGTATCTACTGGTGGAAGAGGTTGGAAATGCTGATTCTGTTGACTGTTGTTAAACTTGAATTTTTATTGGTTTGTGTGTAGGGACAGCTTGTTACCTCCCGCTTCCCTCCTAGGTGAGATTTTTGTTAGCGTGGTCATTTTAGCCACCCGGATAACACTGCCTATAATCCCTATGCAGTTTTCTGCTTCTTCCCTTATCTAGGCAAGCTATCACACTTACCCAAGGTTCCCTGCCCCCTGCAGGAAACACCTCTAGGCTCTCCACAGTTGTCAAGAGAGTCTTGTTTTGTTAACTGATAGCTGACATTTGCAGTGCCATGGAATGCAATTAAAATTAGGGATGCCTGCTCTCCTCCCCTGCTCCAAGCAGCGCTGACCCTGAACACAGACATCAAGCTCTTGAGCATTTCCACAACACAAAGCGTGTGCTTAAAAACAGTCCCCGTTCAAGTCTGGAGGTTAATTGACTAGAGAGTTGTGAGGGGAGAGGAAGATTTCTAAACCAATCCAGTTTTCATCTTCCTTTGAAAACGGACTGCCCCACAGTTCCTCTTCTGATAGCAGAAATTTGAGAGGCAGAAATCAGGATGAGGTAGATAATGGATTTCTTTTTTTTTTACTCTTTCTGTCGGTTGTGAAAATATTAAGGATGAGGAGATACCACATCTCAATTTCAAATCCTTAGCTATTTCTGTTCTGACAAAGATTCTTTTTATGCTTAGTGATACACATTGGCTCAGCCTGGACGGGTGGTAGTAGTGCTTATAAGGAGTCCTTGCTGAATGCAAGAGATGTGACTTCCCAATAGATGGCTATGATTTTGGATGCAAAGTGAAGAGATTTATTTAGGAAAGGGCTAAAAGGAATTAGTCTATGTAGTGAAGAGATCTTCAGTATTTCTGGAGTTGGCATAGCCATCCATTTGTGGTCCTAGTGCTAAGAATAAGTGTGCTTTTAATTCTCTGCTAAAATAGTCTAGAGCAAAAGCTGACAAAACACAGATCAACATTCTCTAAATCAACCAACTTATCGGTATGACAAATTCATTTCTCTTTTTTTTTTATTCTCCAAATTAAAAGCTTTAAGCTACTAATACACATAGAAAAGCCCAAAGTGTGTACCTAGGCAAAATGCTGAACAACACCTACTTGTGATAAAAGTCCTGGCAAGAATACGTACAACCAGTTACAAAATAATAATGGAGCTTCATGCTCAATAGCTAGAACTACTCAAGGAAGTTTTATTGTTAAGGGTACTAATATTCCTAGCAGAGTGAACAACTGAATTAGTCAATGCTTAATTATGGTGATTACAACATTAATTAGTGTGGTAAACTGTTTCTGTTGCCTTGGAAAAAAAAAAAAAAATGTTTGCTCTAGGGTTCAGCATTTGGAAAAGAACTTTTGGTGAGATGTACTGAAGGGCTTGACATAGTGCGCTGTAAACATGAATTTTTGTGCTAACAGTAATGTGAGAATAGTTAGCAATGTGGTTTTTTCCCCACCTTCCACCAGGGACGGTCTAGGAAATGTCTGCTGTTAACTTGAAAAGCTTCTCCAGAGGGGCTTGAAGATATTTTGAAAAGTGACGTTGCCCAGTCACTTGCACAGAATACGAGCGTGTTAAATTTTCACTGGGGTTGCATTAAAGTACTTTGCTATTAGTTTGAATAATTTGACTTTTACTAGAGGGAATGAGGAGGAGTAATTATCGATTTCCCCAGTCAATACTCTTCAACGAACGAGGAGGAGTTGTGAAAGCACGGGGGAAGGATGGAGGGGAAGCAGTACTTGGCGTGGGGGGGTTACTGGGGAGAACTGGGATGAGGAGGATGGGCGAGGGCCCAGAACGTGGGTGTTCAATGAGAGGGGACGTGGGTGGGAATGGGGGCTGGGTTCCCTTAGTCAGGCTGGGGTTGTGGGGAGGCTCGTGGTCTGGGAATTAGGGCAGGTGCCATGTTTCTGTGAGCCAAGAGCATGGACCGGGAGGCCTGGCCAGGACGAGAGGCTTTTGCTGGATTTTAGTAAGGTGGTAGGACTGAAGCTGGTGTGTAGGTCAGAAGGGTACTGCGTTGAGATAAGCGTGTGATCTTTTCATCACTGCTTATCTTGGAGCATGTGTACGGCTGCCAAAGCATCTGTCAGAAGTGGCTCCTGGGATGCAGAATTATTGCAGGGGGGGGTGGCTAGCTGGAAACAGCTAGAAGCTGCGTGTGCCGAGGCAGGGGTGTAAGCAAAGGTGGCAAAAGGGTCTGCTGTTCAAATCTATGTAGTCGATGCGGAAAAGAACTGCAGGGACTCCAGGTATGGATTGCATCTGTATTTCCTTTTAATTTCTTGCTCAGACTTTTAACTTGTATTTTCTTGTCGGGAAATCTGCTCCGCGCTGTGTAGTGGCTATTATTTCACCAGTACCAACTTCACTTAACTTTTGTGAGTGTGGCATGAAGGCATGCAATAATCCCTAAAAGCTGTTGCCAGCTTTAGGATTATAGTTCTGTTGACATATATTTGTGTACTTCAGAATTTTACTTCTGCAAACAGCAAACTCTTAATGCTCTTTTTCGTGGCTTTCTGAGGGCTCAGTGATGTTCAGCGACATGCTAGAACAGATTGTAGTAAGCGTAGTTTTGTATTTTCCCATTAAAACCAAGTTAGTAGTTTACCATAACTTCAGGAGAGAGTGTATATACATATGAGGTATACATAACCTCATTATGCACTGGATTTAAAATAATAACTGAAGTTTCCAGGGTTCAGTAAAACTTTTGTGAAGAATGCTTCATGTATTATTGTGTGTATCCATTTTTATGCTTTCTTTTAAATACAGGTTTAAAAAACGAATGCTGATAGAACAGCTTGAGAGTTTTCTGGAAGAAATCCACCGCAGATCCAATCAGGTCAACCATATCAACAGCAGCTAAGAAACCCTGCACACGAGAGAAGCCACAGCAGGGCACTGCTGCCCCTACTTGCGTTCATTTTTGACGTGCACTCTTATCTCAAGTTCCTGTACCTGAAAGAATGAGAAGCTGCTCTACGAAATGATGAGAAAAGTATCCATCATCATTTTTTTTTTTCTTCTGTTATTTTTGTAATGTGAAAAATATTACAAAAACATTTTTATTTAACTAAATGGAGAACTTCTTGCTTGCCATGGACTTAAGCATCACTTTCCCTCAGGTTCTATTTTTCTTAATCCAACCTTCAAAACTATCACCTCTTAAGGTTGAACTTTGCCAAAAAGTTACTTTGTAGTTTTGAAAAATAAAAAAAAAAAAAAAGCACATACATTAAACAAGGTAATGTTTTGTATATACAGTTATTTTGGATATATTATTGTAAGTTGTATAAATGTATTTTGAAAAAATATTTAAGAAAAGCACTTTTGTTATTCCATCAATAAAAGCTCTATTTTAATCTTTGTGTAGGATCGAGTACAGTCTTCATTGGAATTTTGCCTTCCCTTTCCAGGGCTTTATATGTTCTGGTATCAGCGTTAAAGAATGAAGAGCAGTTTTGTGTCGCCGGGTGTTCTGTTCTTAATCAGAAGAGGCGTGAGTGGAAGCTCGTGCTGAATCACAGCCGTGGGAGGAGGGTACCACAGCCTGGTGTGCTTGGCTTGTCGCTTGGAGTGGCCTGGCAGACAAACCCCACGGTGTTAGGAGGGTGGGTGGGTGGTCACAAAGCAGGGGCCAGCAGCCTTACAGGACCTGCTGCACAGAGTTTTTCTGTGTCGGAAGTTTTTACGTGTTTACAGGTGTGGGAACAGGCAGGTGGGGCTTCTGCTCGGACACAAGATGTGACTCGGCAGCAGTCAAGCTGACTTCAGCCGTGGCGAAACTGAGCAGAAGCGGTTGGCCCATATTCTTAAACATTTACATGGCAAAACCTGTTCGGTTTTTCCTCAAACGTTTATGTGCTTACTCTCTTTGCTGTAGTTGTGGTGCTAAGGATTCCTGGAGAGCTGTTAGGTTTCCAACAGTGTATGTAAGGTATAAAAGTAGTGGAGAGCCTCCTTACTCTTATTTTTGCAAAACTGATATTGTTTAAAACAATGTTTTAATAAATACAGATAACATAGACTTTAATTTCTTTGAAGGGAAGCTCACCTAGGAGGAATAGAAGACAGTGTATTTGTCTAGTGCTTATCATGAAGGATTTGTAACTCTTCCTATAAAGAGTACTGAACCTGTAAATGAAAATAATATTAACATTATTTCAGTTTGGGACATATATTTCCAGTGTAATAAGAGTTTAAATACATAAATTAAGCATGGAACTAGCAGATTTGTAATCATTCATTGCTTGTGTAGAAAAAATCAACTGCAGTTGCCTGCTGCCTTGGAGTGATTTGACTATTTCTGTATTAAAAACAAAAAAAGCCTTTCCAAATAGTCGGTAGCCCAAGCCAGAAATTTGCGAAAACCTGAAGCTTACCCAAACCATTGGCTAAAGAATCACTTTTGAACTGAGCAAAACAGTGCCTAAATTAATTCCCTTTTGCTGGTATTGTGGCTACAGAAGAGATTATCACAACCCATTGAATGAAATCACTGCCTCAGATTCGTTGAATTTGTAGTTCAGTTGTTTGTACTGCTGTTACCTTGCCTGTGCTTCAAAGGGAATATGTTCAAACCTGAAATACATACTAAAAAGCCCCCAATTTTTTCAATTATTTCAGGCAGAACTTTGCTATTTTAAGTCTTGGAAAATATTTCTGCTATTACTAGAAGACTGATTCGAAGAAGACTACGTAAAGAGTCCTTGTGAACTTTGTGGGGATAGTAAGTTTTAAGTACCTCTAGTTAGGTTATAATAAATGTATTAAAAGCAGATCTTGTTTACCCTTTCTCCTTTACATACCTGAACAGCTTCAGTCACTAAGTCTGAACAAGCAAAATGACTGTTTTCAGTTTTCACTTTTTGCATTAAAAAGTTTGAATTGGAAATGTACTTCTGGCTTTTAGTAGATTGGAAGGTGTGTATTTTGTTATGCTTCATATAAAAATCCTCTTTTACAATCTGTTTTCCTTCCTATTTATATGATTTCCCATACACTGTAAACTGAGCAATTTTATTCACCCAAATCAGTTTGTTCTTAATCCCGACGAGTTTGTGGCTCAGATTTCATAGATCAGCTTTTAGTGCCTTTGCCAAGCAAAAACAGTTTTATTTAGCGAGTGGCAACGATTGCCCAAGCGGATTTCAAACCACCCCCCCACCAAAGTGGTGCTTTTCCCTTTAGAAAGATGGGTGTGCGTTGTGGTCAGAATGCAAGGTGCAGGTTTTTAAAGCAGAATGTAAGGTGCATAGGTATTCCCTGAGAGAACAGTAGGTGTTGCTTGGAAGCAGACAAGGAAAATAATTCTCCTCAGTCTTCTTGCCAGGCCCCACCGTTTTACTGAACCCTATAAATGGCTATATGTTCCCTGGAAATCTAAATGGACATGACCCCAGTTATGAGAGAAACGTGGTGGTTTGAAAGATTTTTTTTTCTTTTTTTTTTTTTTTTTTCTGGAAAAAAGGTGGAAATGTACTGCACTGCTATGAATGGTGAGCATTGTTGGAGCTGGCCTGGTGCTTTGGAGGAGCAAACACCTGCTAAATGGTGCACAATGCAATTCTTCTGTATTACTGCCAGAGAGCTGTATGGTAGTTTCCTTTGGCAGAAACTGTGGAGTAACTGATGTGATTGGGCATGACTGAAATGAGACTCATGGTCTAATACTGAATCCGAAGGAGCACTGTGGTGTTTCACTCTTTCAGATGTGCTCTGCAATTTTGTTTGGTTGGTTGTTTTTTTTCAGGGGGCTGGGGGATTTCATTTGCAAGAAAAAGAGTTATTGGTTGCAAAAGAAATGTGGGGTTTGGTGGTTTCTTGCAAAAGTTAGATTTTTTTTTTTTGCAGAGCTAAGTTACCTGATTACATATAGTGACTCTCCACGGCCGTTGATGACCTGAATGTCTGATGGGGATGCAAAGTGGTGAAGAGTCCAGATGTGCAAAACTGACTCCTCCAAGGTGGGTGTTATTCAACATACGAGGGAAGAGGAATTTGCACCTGCATATTCTGCGCGATAGCTGGGCAAAAGATTGTTGGTCTTGAGAACTTCTGAGCTATCCCCCCCCAAACTCCTGAGGTAGGAATTAGCACGGGGTGTTTCAGGCCTTGGAGTCCAGGTGCCCACAGGCAGAAGTCAGCTGCGTGCTGCCTGTGTCGGCGTGAATAAGTTTAATTTATAGGGGAAAGATTTTTATTTTAACTTTTTTTCAGATATTAGTCCACTTGATCCAGCCCATTTGGAATTGGAGTCGCCCTGTGAAGATTGGTCCCAAATCCCAGGGTGTTTAGGATCAGTAAGATCTTTCTAGTACCTATAAGTGCGGTAGAAATCTTTTTGAGCATATTGCGTATACACAGAATAGGTTAATCTGACTTCTATAACTATCATGCATTCTTTCTTACGAAATTAAACCATATTCTTTATGCTGTAAGAGCCCTAAACCCGTTGTTTCCACAGTGGTGGGAATTTTCTGGACTGAAGAATGGCACGCTGTTTGCAAGGAACTTGTTAATGACTGCAGTGCAGGATCCCGCTGCTGAAACGCAGAGCCCGCGTACCTGTATTAGCTTCTCTCAGGAAAAAGGTGAAAGGTCTGTCTGCTTTGAAAACGGGCGTTCGAGATCTTTTTAGTAACACCATTGCTGTGATGCAACAAAGAAAACATTAGTAAAATGCGTCCACTTTCTTTCCATCTTCTGTACAGTGCCCTCAGGTTCTGATGTTCAGTACCTTGAGCTTTGCGTTCCTCCTCTGCCTTGAGAATAAAACCACTATTTTTTTCCAACAGTGAAATCAGTCTGGGTGAATGAAGAGATCACGTACTGTGGGACTCCACGCGGGTGATTCACGTGTGTTTCGTTGCTGAAAGGAGTCTGCCTGGCTTTGTATTTCAAAGGTAATGTAATTTTTGTTGTTATCACAGCCCTGACCCTGCTGAAGTCCCATGCTGTCGCCTAACCTGTTAGCCAATTCCCAGCTCTGCTGTCCCGGTAAAAAAAAGATAAACGAGGCACAAATGTCCCTTTTCTAAATGGGAGACAAACAGCAGGGAAATATCTACATCGTCCCAGAATTTCCCTGTCAGAACTCTTAACAAAACCTAAGTTTCCTTGATCTCAATTTATGACTCTTTCCCCTCTCTGGCTGTGGGTTAATTATTAGATTCAATAAAGAGCCCTTAAGAATTAATGATGGCTCAGCTATTATTAAAATACATACTATTTAAAGAAATTCTTCATGATAGCTAGATAGCATTAAGAACACATTGTCAAAAAACCCCCGCAGTACTAAAAACCCCAGAATTGGATTGTTTTTTAATGAGCAATTAAAACAATGGAATTCAACTGAAAATTCAAGACTTGGTAAAATCAGTTTCAGTGGCACTATTTCAGTGCTCCTAAAAAAGTCCCTACTTTAGCTTTCAAGCCACTGGGTGACTAGGTCCAGAGCTGTTAAAGTAAACAATAATAAACATAATTATACTTTTTAAAATCAGCTTCTTAGCTTGGTCTGACTGGAGTTAAGGAAAGTTTTGGCATTGGTTTCAATTGGATAAAGGTCTGATGTCTGATTTCTATTACCCTTAGTCTTTAAGTCAAGCCACCTAAAAGCTTTTATTTTGTATGGAAAACACCAGAAAAAAAATACTAAAAATATTATACCCCCCCACAGAGATGAAAGTTGTCATAAGATTTAAAACTCTGCAGCTCAGCTCAAAGGTTAACTTGGCTATGTCAAATTTTCACCGTACTCCCACGTATGTACAGCATGTGTCTTATTCCAGGCCGTTGCCGGAGGAGTACTTGACAAAATCAGGTGTGCTCGGGTTTGGTTTGGCATTGTGGCCGTGGGATGCCTGCAGTGAGGGGAGGCTCTTGGATTCCTTGGTTTTCAGATTTCTACCTGAAAGCACGTAAGGCAAAGAGGAGAAATGGAAGAGGCCCCGATCTGCACTGGAGGCCCACCGGTGTTCGCGACGCGCACGTGGGTCGCGCCTGCAGGTGGCACAGCCCAGGGAAGCAGAAAGGGGAGACGTGGCTTAACGATCAACCTCCTGCTCTGCTGGTGTTTGAACAACTCGAAGACCCGTCTGGCCTCTCCAAAGAAGCAAGCAAGTGGGGGTAATGCCTCCATAAACCCCGCGGGGGCCTGGGGCTGCCATCGCCTTTCGCATCTCTGGAACACCTGAGGCTTCCAACAGGGAAACAAAAAATCAGGGGCCACCTTTGGTGAGGCTCATGTGCCCCCCCCCCCAAAAAAAAAAAAAAGAGGGGGGATTGCACAGTTTATTTATTCCCTTCTTTTATGTAAATTGTGATGGAGGATTTCTACTGAGATGTCATTCAGCTCGTGAAGGACATTTACCGACTCTCTAGTCCATAGCTGAGATTTTACTCTGAATCTCCCCACTCAGCTGGTTCCAGCTGCTCATGTGGAAATGATCTGTTAGCAGAAGCTACTGCACATGATGGTCATGCTTCAAAACAAGTCTGCCTTCATCTTCACTGGGAGCAGCCCTGACAATAAGGACTTGGTGGTGTTGGTTGATGAGAAGCTCAACGTGAGCTGGTGATGTGTGTTTGCAGCCCAGAAAGCCGACTGGCCCCTGGGCTGCACCAAGAGAAGCGTGGCCAGCAAGGCGAGGGAGGGGATTCTCCCCCTCTGCTCTTGTGAGACCCTGTCTGGAGCCCCGTTAAAGCGAGTCCAGAGGAGGGAACAAATGATCAGAGCCCCTCTCCTTCAAAGACAGGCTGAGAGAGTTGGGGGGGTTCAGCCTGGAGAAGAGAAGGCTCCGGGGAGCCCTTCGAGTGGCCTCCCAGGGCTTAAAGGGGGGGCAGGGGAGGTGGGGGGGGACTCTGGGTCAGGGGGTGCAGTGACAGTGAGGGGTGATGGTTTTAAACTAAAAGAGGGGAGATTTAGATCAGATATGAGGAAGAAATCCTTTAATGTGCGGGGGGTGAGGCGCTGGCCCAGGGTGCCCAGAGCAGCTGTGGGTGCCCCCTCCCTGGAAGGGTTCAAGGCCAGGTTGGACGGGGCTGGGAGCCCCCTGGGCTGGGGGAAGGGGGCCCTGCCCGGGGCAGGGGGGTGGAACTAGATGGTCTGTAAGGTCCCTTCCAACCCAAACCGTTCTATCATTCTACAATTCATGAAGACAAAACTTTCCCGTCATTACCTTCGATGCTATCAAAGAGATCATCCTCAAAAACTAACCCCGTAACAGTTCAGGAGCTATAGATAAAACATTAGTAACCTTTTTTCATTCTTTGCTTTTATGATCTGAGCAGGCAGATTTAACCAACAGAAAAATAGTGGTTTATTTCCTGAAGCTGGATTTTCCCTGAGTTGGTAGAACTGGTTTTCACTTGAGCCTTTACATGTTAGTGTGAGATCAAAAATTAAAAGAGTTCTTATGAACAGTCTCAAAGGTAAACTGGAAGTGTTTTACATACAAAAGTTTATATTTAGGTTAGGCATACATTTAAATGCTATCATGCTTTTCTTATTTTTTTTAAGGGGAAAAAAAAAAAAAAAGACGACTGGTAGTTATTTCTGTAGCGATACACTCCAGAAGTGAGAAGTCAAGTCTGTATATTTGATTTACCTGTAGCTCCTGATGCCTTCGTACCATCTTCTGTGATTTCAATCTCTGCTTTGTGGATAGCCTCTGAAATATAAAGACTATCTTGGTCTGGAAAAAAAAAAAAAAAAAAAAAAAAACAAACCCAAAAATGAATATTAGTAGTTATTTTCTGAATTTCATTGAGAACGCTTTTTTTTTTTTTTTTTTTTTTTTTTATTCAGTATGCTTGTACGTGTTTTATTCTGCAGAATCTAGGGATCACATAACTGTTAGCTATTTCAGCTGGGCGACTGTTTCAATGACTGAAACGGAGCTGCCCTAAAGGTTGGCTGGGCCAAAGGATTCCAGTCCCTTGGTATTTTGCTGGAGCAGCACTAACTGTATCATTACCTGATGCTGTTGGACAAATAGTGGTGTATGCCTGTCCCCTGCTCTATTCCATTTCTAAAAAATTAAACAAAAATTTCTAAAATATTTTTCTTACGGTAACACTACTTACAAAATACTTAATGCTTAGTAGAAGGAATATAATTTTAGACAGTGTTTAGCTGTCAAGGAATTTACTGCAATAACATAAAGCACATGCTCTCCATCTAACTACACGTGAACTAATGCTGAGGACGTTTCACATTCTTACCGTTTCTTCTGTCAGCAATTCCTTTCACCGGTTCCTTTGGCACAGCATGTTCAGAAAGACGGCACAGTATAAAACCACCTTTTTCTGTATCTGCCTTCCACATTAGAAGATCCTCAGTTCTAATTCTGACGTGACTGTGATTTTTCATATGTGTCCCTCATATGGATGAGCGCAGACAGCCCAAACATCTAAGCTAGCTTCATATTACAGACTTTTTAGCTCAGCGTGTAGCTGAGTTAGTATGACTACTTTGTGTTTGGAACGGTGTGGGTTTATATGCAGGGAACTTAGAGAATAAGCTAAAACACTCGTGTGTCTTGAATTTATCTACCCAAACGTGTCCTTTGTCACAGAGCGCAGCTTGCTTGGCGGCCCAAGTGCCTCTTGACTTTCCTGTGAAACGTGGCTCCTGCGTTCGGGTGAGCGGTGAAGTTCTTAGGAAAGCATCACTACTGTGAACGCAAAGGTGGGGTGTTTTCCTGCTTTAGGAGGTCTTGCTTTAGGAAGTTTCCTGCTTTAAGAAGTCCTGCTTTAACTTATTTCTGCTACTGACTTCATTCAGCTCTGCTTTCTAGTCGGGGGTAGGAGGAATGACAAGATTTTGACTGTGTGTGGATTGGTGTAAACCTGGAGGAGCTGTGAGGGACCCTCACGTGTATGGTGATGGAGCCAGCTGCAATCTGGCTCGTTTCCACTCATGTCCTGTGGGGGGTAGCCGGGTTTGGGCTATGGGAAAACATCACTTTGGCACAATATGGGAACATCTTTGGAGCGAGAGAACGCATGAGAAAGGCAAGATCAAGTTACTTTACTGCAGGGAAGACGTTACGTCTGACACCGCTGTACTGCTGACAGAGGGAAGCAGGTCCCTTGGCAGCGTGAGTGGGAATGCACACATTTGAGTGCCTCTGACCACGGAGGGAGCCTTATATCACCATTGCAAATACCCTCCTCCTCCCTCGTTTCTACCCATGTTTACCTGTTCTCTCACCCTCGAGTGTTTCCCCACTATGTGTACAACAGCGGGCAGAATGCCGAATGGGAATTACGAATCTGAGAGGTCTGTGACTTAGAGTACATGGTGAGAGGCAGAATTTTTTTTTTAATTACGTATATGTAATATTGTGGAGGAAAGAAATACAAACTTTCAGATATAAAAAAGCCATTCAAGGTCTGAAATTAAGTAACACGTTTGCTAAGCGTGATCTGAGGGTAAATATTCTGAGGATTATGGCTTCTGCTTCATCTGGAAGAGGAACTGAAAACTTAGCTGTTCTTTTTCCAACTGTATCTATTGGTTAAAAAAAAAAAAGATAAACCTTCTTTATAAACTCTGCTTCATGTGACTCTTAGACCATCATTGCTATGACCCTACTATTGCAATACATGACTGAGTAGTGTAAGAGGAGAACTGGGAAGGGCCTCAACCCATGTTTAGTCCATAACCTCACCGCAGGCAGGATCAAATACTTCTACAAGCCTTACCCTGGATGACGAAAGCCCCTGAGTTGCATACATAGGAAAGAAGCTGCTAAATAAGATTGTTTATGATGGAGTTCATTCCCCCAAAGTATTTACTTTATTTAAATAGATGTCAACTTCATAAAATACATCGTAGAATCATAGAATACCAGGTTGGAAGGGACCTCAAGGATCATCTGGTCCGAGCCCCCCGTTCAGCTGAATCATAAAAGTGTCTAATGTTGGGGACTCCACCAGTTCCCTGGGGAGGTTATTCCAATGGCTGAGGGTTCTCACTGTGAACATCCTCATGTACTTTATCAGTATATTAACATTTGTTTGCAATAAACAAAGCAGCAGGCTTTAACAAAAAAAAAAAGTGGGCAGTAACAAATTATTTGAATACGCATCTCTGCAGTTTGAGATCTATACTGCAATAGAACAAAGCTATGCTCAATTTTAAAAACGGCATAAAACCCCCCGTAAGTAATGTGCCTTTTGAGGTTCAGCCTAGGAAAGCAACTTTTCGGTAAAAGCAAGTTTGTCTGAATTGGAGGAATCTTATTTATTCACTCACACACACAAGAATGGCATGAAATCTCTGCATCTCTCTGGGCAACTATTGGTCTGAGCCTTCGCTATGTGAAGAAATTACTAAATTGAAATAATTTGTATTGCTGGAAGTAGTCAAAAGAAAAACAAAATAGATAATTTGGATTCTTTTTGTATTTCATATTAAATAGGATAAAAATTTTCCAAGGCGAGGAATGATTTCAGACTTCCAAAACCAGGACAGTTTACAATAGTAAGACTAGTATTTTAGTGAAAGGAAAGTATAATTTAGTCCACTGGTGAGTGGATTAGCGAGACAATGTGGCATGGACATATGCCAATATTGTTTGCAGTGTCAGGAGCTGGAATACAGACTTGTTGGACCAACATCCTTAACTGTTAAATGACTATTTAAAAACACAAATAGGGGTGCAAGTTGTGCTAAAGCATCCAAAATTTCTGAATAAATAACCATTTTCCATACCCACACTGTCTTGACAGTTTTAATCTTAAAGAAAGAAGACGAAAAAAAGAAAGCAAGACCAAAACCAACCCCTTCAGATTCTTATTTCTTACAAAACAGCAGCTCAAAATACAGTTGTCATTAATAAAGTAGAACAGTTGAGTGTGAATTGTGTTTTAGAGTTTCACAGAGGAAGAAATACAATCAATCAATTCAGAAGGCCCCGGTCTACCAAATGATTCAAATGTAAGAGTCTACTACTATTGGGTTAGTGATCATTTTTTATTCAGTCAAGCCTCTTACCTGAAATGCCTTTAAAATTAGCAGTGATGGGATTAAACGCGTCTCTAATTCCGAAGGCAGAAAAAACTGTCTTTAGGTCAAAAAGGCTTTGAATACTGAACCTGAAATTAATATGATGGATTTTATTTAAATGCTGGAATTGTAGTTTCATAGAGCTAAAAGGTGCAATTCATTTCAAGCCTTTCCATTTCATCCATCTCTTTCTGTATGAGCCCAATGCGTTCTGACTGATTAAATGTTCTTTGCAGAAAAGCAACTCCTCTTCACCCGAAGATGTTAACAGAAGGAATCCCTCGCCTCCATGAATCGCAATCAGAGCGCCTCTCGCTCTTCTTGTCACACGGAACTCTGCTTTTCCCCAGCGGTCTCTTTTTAACAATCTTTTTTTGCTGTAGCAAAGGGCCCTTTGAAACATTTGCCAAAGTTTAGCTTGGCTAAAAAAGAATATTAATGCACAAATTGTTTCCCAGGGCTTTGTTAGCATGAGGAATGCATCGTAAGAGCTGTGTAACGCAGCCCTTCCGTGGTGACCCATACGATAGGTACAGCCACAAAAGGCCCTTCTGCACCTGATTCCTCCTGCTATGCAATTTCATTTGAATAGATTATAGAAAATACCTCCAGGATATGTGCATTTGCTGGCGACAGCGAATGACTAATGTAGAAAACAGATGGCTGAAACTTGCTCTGTGGACAGAAAGATGGGTATGACTGGTGGGGGGCCCCCAAGTTCTTTATAGAGTACTTCTGTAGTACACTAGCAAGTTGTAAAAATAAGCAATTGCATCTTTTTTTTAAAGGTTATATATTTATTCTTCCTTAAGAAAAGAGAAAAAGGGAATGTGGGAAAGGACCAGGAACATTTCTCTCTTTTAGTTCCTTAAAGGATTTTTATACCCCAGACAAATTTTAAGTAGAAGCTGTAGGTTCAACTGAAATACTTGTGTTTTTTAAAACAGCACAGAGCACACCATAAAGTTTTGGCATTCCCAGCTCACCTCTTTGTGGCTTGAGGAAGGGTTAGATCTTTTCTAATCATGTGAGGGATAATAAAACCGAAAGCATCTCCTTTGATTTTGCCTCATGCGTGGCTTGTGTCAGCGCTATCACATAGAATTCTGACAACTCAACTATTGCAGCCGTCTTGGAGTACTGACATTACTTACCTAGGTAGAAAAATGTCCATCTTTGTTCTCTTTAAGCTGTTGGCCCAGAGGGTCATGGTTTTGGCAGAAAGGTGAGACTCAATCTGGGACAAAGACGTCCTTTTGTGGCTGGGAAGCACTAGGAACATGCTGAGTTTCTCCCCCAGGTAGGGTAACTCGACCACGCTGAAACCCTCCAGAGCTTCAGTCTGGAACTGGCCTGTGGGTGGGCAAATACAGATCTTATTTCATTATTCAAGTGGGGAAAAAAAAAAACAAAACAAACCCCAAACCCCGCGACCCAAGCCTGGGTCAGCAGATGGTTCAGAACCCCGGTGATGGGATGTAAGGGGCTGTCTCTAACGCGTGGGCTCTTGCAGCCACCTCAGGTGGCTCTGGACCCACAGCAGCAGCTCATCTCAACGGAGCTGATTGCGTCAAAACAAACATACAAACCAATAAATAGAAATATCTCTCTCTATATCTTGGCAGAAAAATGCCAACGACAGTAATAGTACCTGAAGCTCCGTCTCAGCAGAGCGTGGATGTTTTATTACTTGCTCAGATAATAACTGTCCTCCTTGCTCAGTTTAAAAACCATTACCGAGGCAATGCCAGGAACTTTATGGTGACTGTTCCTGCAATGCTTGCTCTTTGAATAAGGTAACCATTTTCTCTGTGTTTTCCGTCTAGTATCTTTCACTAAAAATTCACTACTGAAAGAAATTACAAAACCAAACCGAGGAATATCCTATCGAATTAATTGAAACCCGACTTTGTCTCATGTTTCTTCTTTACTACCTTCAAAAATCAGTTTTAACCTTATTTCAAGAAACAAATAACTACATGAAACAATAGTTAGGCTTATGCTTATTTAAGCATCAAATTTCTTATTGTTGAAAGTCTAGGCCTAAAACATATCAAAACCAGATGAAGGTTATAAAACCAGTCTCAAATGTAAGGGGTGGTAGGCTTCGGAACTTGTAGTTAGTTATGCAACAATTTGTGACGGTCATTAAAAGTATCATTTTACTTCCATATTTCAATGCAACAATTAGTCCAGGCATTTCTAATGGATTGTGTCATATAGTAGAACAGATTTGATTATCACAGTTTTACTTCCTTATTTTTTCATCTGTTAATCCAATAAATAACATTTCAGAAACATTCATCAATAGTTACCAGGCCAAGAGTTACATACAAGTTGCAAGCAAATGGCTTATCGTTGCCGTCACTGCAGGCCATCCAAAATATTTAACGTACTCCCTCTTCACCCAGCTGTAGGAGTTGTATCTTCAAGGGTAGACACTCATGCTTTTTGAGTCAGTGATTACAAATAACTGAATATAGGTTGCTCGTCTTCATAATACATAAATATTTGCCAATAACTAAGTAGCTATAGGGTGTCTCAACTGTTTAGCGTACAACACCTGTCAGTTTTGCAGATCTAGATTAGGTAGGATTCATTAAGTGTTGATTATTCTAACCGATTTGGTTTTAGGTTCTCAGATTAGCCCTCCTGCCATGCAACGTGGAGGGGGAACTGCGCTGCTAAGGCCACCTCCCAGCACGTGGGTCGCTTTGCCGGGAGGAGACCTTCTGGTTTGTAATGGGCAAGCAGGGAAGACTGACACGTGTAGCACACGGGACACGGGTGGTTTAATCTGTGGTAATGCCCGTGTTTTGAAGTCAGCACATTGTGCTCAAAGGTTATACAGATCTTATTTGTGAATTAAAAAGACAATCAAAGACTTGAGATTAGTGCGTCCGAACATTTAGTGTTCCTAGCTCGGGCTGCTTTTGAGCATCCCATAAGAGTTGTAGATATGCTAAGTCAGTATTCAGATGTAGTTAACAAATTGCTTGAAGAAATTAATACGTAAAATAGCTGCAGTGTTTATAAGACTTGTGTAAATAGTGATGCTGACATTTTCTCGGAGCAGGGTTAATTGTCCCCAGGCTGGTTTGCTCTGCGTGGCCTTGCTAGAAGGCTACAGTGTTGTAAATGCTGAGATTGATAACAGCCCACAGCTTATTTCTTCCAGCTCTGTATGTTCATCCCGATGGCAGACAGCTGCTATGGTTTGATGATGAAGGAAAGTTTTCTCATGCCTCTGTTTTCGCTGTAGTAAACCTGCCTTTTGTATTAATTTCAACCTGATTTGCTGGAAACGTTTCTAGCGCTTCTAGGGACAAAGACAGAATCGGCCCTAGAAAATCTGACAATCAGCAAATTTTAAATGATCCCTCTCATTTCAGTTCCCTCAAAAGTCTCTCCAGCTGCAGAGAGCCCACACATTTCAGACTGGATGAAAAGTCAGTTCCAGTATTTTGGTTAACTTTCTTTTTCTGTGCAAATACCTAATGCTCCAGCTACCTACTTAAGGATGACAGGACGGAGTTCTTGTGTTTAGGTAAATGTGCAGAAGAGTACAACTAACGATTTCACATCAAGCTTGCAAGGGATCAGGAGCAAGTGTATGGTCAGTCTGCAGCTCAGCTGCTGAATTTCCGATCCCTGGTCTTTACCCAAGTTTTCCACTTGCATAAGCACTGGCAGCCTTCTACCTTTCGTCATCTTAGACCTCTCATTTCTTTATCTCACTCTGCTAAAAGATGAAGTGTGGAGGAAAGGTTTGTTCCTGAGCTAATAGCTCTGTGTTAGTCCCAAGAAACCTGTTTGCTTAACGGAATGACTTGTGAAACAACAAAGTGTGATGCTCTTCCAGATTTCACGAGTAGCAAAGACCTTGCAATGAGCTGGTGATACAAAATCAGGGGGCTGAAAGATCACCAGCTGATGTCCTAGTTTGTTACTCGACAGCAAGGATGATAAAGTGTGGGGTTTTGGAGAGGGAAACTGTACTCCTGAGTAAAGTCAGTTATCTTATAAAAGATTCAGATGCAAAGAGGATGGGAGCTCTCCAAGTCAGAGGTGTGAAGGCACTCGGGAACTGGCAGTCCCAGCGGGAGGAAGCAGCACGGCGGGCACACCATGGATGTCCCAGGAGAAGAAACCTCACGAAGAAAGATGTAAGAGTAAGGACAAACTTGGAAAAAAGTGATTCCTTAGCCAGGTGAGTTATGGTTCGGAGATAAATAGGCATTGAAATAATGAGTGGCCAATGGCCTGTATGATGTGACTGTTGCACAGAAAAGGAAAATATTTTCACCGTATAAACAAGAGAAAAAGGAAGGAAGAATAGTGCTGCTGAACAATGTGAATTTAATTTTTTTAGATTCATCCCAATTATTTGCGGGAACTGATGGGAAAGAACTAATCTCATGATATAGCAAAGGATAACGGTGAGGTTCCTAAAAATGGGGAAAGAACAGGAGGTATTACAACACCAGAGACAGAAACAAAGTTTAAACTACTTGAGAGATACAAATACTAATCTGGGGCCCGGATAATCACCACCCCAGAACACGAAAAGAACTTGGATGTGAAATTGCAAATGTGTCTGCAAAGATTTTTAATAGACCCGTAGATTCAGTTGTGTTCCATGACTGGAAAACAGGAGTATATTAATAAAGAAAAAGGAAGTGATCTGGGAAATTTTGGGTCTTTCTTTGAGAAGTTTTAGAACACATGCTGGAGAAAAGAATAATCAAATCACAGAAGGAAAGTAGCAAAGTGAGATAAATTGCAACATCAGGTCTAGACCCTAGCAAACAAATCTATAAGCTTGTTTGACTTGATAACTAATATGATGAAAAGGCAGAGATCCAGCCATCTAGTTTTGAGTAAAACATTAAACAGTTTCACTACGGCACTATTTACAGGTCGAAGTGATGGGGATTAGAGCAACAAATGGAAGGCAGCAAGCAGCCACCTGAAGGGAAAACTACGATGAGCCAAGATAAAAGTGGGGTTCCCAGGCTGGGAGGAAGTTATCAGCGGCTGCCCAAAGCACTGCCAGCACTCAGGACTTTCATCAAAGACAAACAGTGAAGTTATCGTGGTGGCTGGAGCGGTGGAAATCAAATGATGGTTCAAAACCACAAAAAAAAAGTATGTACCTGTGATTTTCCTCCCCTTGATATACCTAGGGCTCAGCAGCTGGAAAAAAATGGAGAAAGGAAAAAGGCCCAGGTGAGGTCAACCTTGAAGAACCCCCCTGAGCTGATTCTGCGGTGCACTACACAGGTATTTTTAGCAAGTCATAGAAATACTAAGAGCATTTTACTGAGTGTGGATATGACCTTATTACATGCATTATGTACATTCCTGGTCCCTTATTTTCAAGAAATAACAATTGAAATTGGAAAAGGACTAACAGAGAATTGGAGTATCTGGTATTTTTAGTAGATTAAAAGAGCCTGGCTTCTTCAGCTTAGCTAACAGGAAATTGAGAGGCAATTTGGTGACTGGCAAATACATTTGGGAGTAAATATCAAAGCTGAAGAGAAACTATTTAACTTAAGGGATAAAGCTGCCACGATGCTAAGAGATATAAATTAGTCTTGAAAAAATTTAGACTTGGAATTAGGGAAGGTTTTTACCCAAGTCCGTTTCTAAAATTTAGGGTAGAAGGGAAAGGAGCTTTTTATATTTTGAAAGAGTTTGTAGTGCTAAATGGAAGAATTCCTGGTAGTAGAAAAGTAAGCCTACAGCATGGGTCCTGTCGGTAACCCACATGCTCCAGGCCTTCGGAAGGAGCATACGCTGTAATCATGTAGTATACAAGTGTTTGATCTGTATTTATACTGTTTTAAGCCCATGTTGAGAGCATCCACTGACTGGCTGTAAAGGCCATGAAAACGTCTCTCCACTTTGTTTCAGTTTTACCCTAAAGCTGGGAAGAAAGGCTGCAACTGGAGACAGGAGAGATGGGTGTGTTGTGCTGGGGCTCCTGGTAATATTATCCTCTTTCTGGTGCTTCTGGGCCCAGAAGTTTCTTGACCCCCTCCCCAGATCAAACGTGTAGGAGCTTGATCTTGTTTTGCTTTTAACTGCCCCTCTGCCATGGGATCAGACGTGGTTCTTAGGGTCCTCCCTTCCTAGGCAGTTTTACTTAAGGAGCTCCCTGCTATTGCAAAGGACTTTGAATAGCAAGGTACCTCCAGTTTCTTCTGTTCCCTGGCACGTCGTCTCGGTACCTTCTGGTTGTTTGCTGTGGCTGACAAGTGTTTTTATGGAGTGTTGGGAGATGTTGGTCTGTGAAGAATGGGGCATGGACTGTAGATGTTTTAGAAACCCTTCCGAGCCCAGGATTTCTTTCATGATTGCCTGGGATTGTGAGGGGTCAATTCAGTCACCCAGGTGGTCTCTTTGTTTAGTGGGATTTCTCTCGAGACTTCTCCAAGCTGGGAAAATAACAGATCTTAGTGCAGGTCGCTGTGGAAATTAAACAAATAAAACTGTTCCGTGTTATGCAATAGAGCAAATCTGGATCAAGGGCAGTTACCGTAGTTAGCTTCGGCTGTGTGATGCATCGTTGGCACTTTCAGGGTTGAGCCCTCCACCGTGGTGAAAGGCAACATCTGGGTATCCATGAAGGAAAACTTCTTTTGCCACGTGCTTTTGAAGTACACGGTGCTCACCAGGGCGATCTGGCCGAGCGGCGACTCAGCTCTCTCCAGCAACTTGCCACGCACATCCCCATCTGCACAGGAGAGAGGGGTGGAGGGGACACACACACTGTCCGGTTCATCCAGGCCTAAAGGCCGGGTCCGTGTGAGTAAATAAAGCAGGTTGGAACTGCTCCCTGTCCCCGAGGGCAAGCAGCACAATCCAGAAGGCACTGCTAAACCCCCTACCTTCTTCTCCCCACCTGCCCACGGACCTCATCGGGGTTGCCCGTTGGTCCAGTGCTCTCCCCTGAGCCGAGCTCAAACGAGCCAGCGCCGGGGGCCAGAGTGGTTCCAGGGCTGTGCTACTCGCTGGAGAGCGTGGGTGACAGCAGCCTGGTGCTCAGTACCATGCCTCGGCCCTAACTGGTTTTCTAGCTTAAATGTGCCCACGTGCACTTTGCAGAAACCCCTCATGAAATGGGTTCATGGTTACAGGTTGCTTTATGAAGTAACTAAGTCAACTGAGGCTCGTATCCTACTTCTCCCTCTCATTTAACTGGCAGTTCAACTGGTCCTGCTGTGAGTATCTCGAAGATTTTTGAAAGTGAGATCCGCTTTTAATTCGTTGATGCTCATAAGAGTACCACAGTATGAACTCCCATTTTAGTTCCTGCATCTAGAGCAATACTTTTCTATCATGAAGCTGGATCACTCATTACAGTTAATTTGAGAAGGATAGAATTTCTTTTTGATAGCAGCTTTAATGTGTGTGTTTAACATCACTTTACATGTTGATGGCCAGATTAGCACTCATGTAACTCAAGTCAATGGGGCAAACTGGGGACTGATTTGGTTTGCTGCTTCTAAGGACTTACTTTTTCAACTATTTTTGCATTAACATGGATTTTAATTTCATTGCTTTTCTTGTTTGCGTGAAAAGTAAGTTCATTTTATTTCCTATTTTGACTTTTTAAACTCAGACTCTGACTGCTGAGCTTAAGGCCCTACTTGTTCCCCATGGCAGCATGAAAGCATTCAACGCAGCCAACTCAGTCTCTGGGGAAATTGCCTGCTCCTCATTAAAGCTGAAAACACTGCAGAGGATTGACATCTTAAAAATTAGAGGAAGAAGGCCAAGTGATTACCAGCTTGATATTGCAAACTTACAGATTCAGGCCTATTCCATCTCTTTCCTCACACTGGAAGTGAACATCAGCACAAGAACCCAACATCAGTCCTGGTTTGGACAACACTGAGCGTGGCAAAAGCTTCGGACTCGGTTAGATGCACGTTCTCTCATTACTCTTATTTTACATTTTACTCACGTGCAGTCATCCTCATGGGCTGTTCCATTACCTCCAAGGTTGCCAGTGATCCGTTCCTGTACGTGGGTTGCGGTTCTGTCGGGGTCGGGGGAGTTGGTTTGCTGAAGGCTGCCGTTTGCCCAGCGCACAGTGTGTGCAGCAAAGGCTGGCGAGAGCTTCACGCTGGCGTCCGTGAAGAGAGAGCAAGACAGCTGAACCGCCGTGCCTCGGCTGGAGCCAGCTGCTCCTTCGTACACCCCGTGCAAGAAATCCTGCACGCTTTGATCTGCCAGGCGAGAGAGAGGGAGAGACTGCGATTATCGTGTCGAGGCCACGAGCAGCAGAGACCGAACCGGGGCTCGGCGGCTTTCAACTCCAGTCCTGACACCGGTATCCTCTGAAAGTTAAAGCCCTGTAACAACTGAAACGCCCTTGACTTTACAGGGTGTTACTGTCAAGCACTACTCTCAAGGACGGTGACGCCCTGGGCACGGGCAAAGTGCTCCCCATGCTGCTGTATAAATCGCTCCAGTGCAGATACGTCGAGCGGCCGGTTTCGCGCCAGGCTCACGCCTCGATGCAAACACAGCTCTTGCAGTTCATAAGGAATTTTATTTTCTTTTGGGAACTGCCTGGGTTCCCGTGAGCGAGGCTGTGACTGGCTGAGCTGCGGATCTTGCCGTACCGCCGCCTTCTCCTGCCACTGCCCATGCCACCCACTCCAGGAGAGGGGATCTCCCGGACTGCCCCAGCTCTGTCTCTGCTACCCTTGGCCCTCGTGTTGTTTTGTTTCTCGACGGGTGGTGCCCCAAACTGGCCCCGTATTGCAGATGGGCCCTGGCAACGCTAAGTAGAGCTGATAGGTTGCTTCATGTGTGTTACAAGCAACTCTTCTCTTTATACAGCCCACAACAGTGTCTGCTTTTTCTGAAGTACAATTATATTACCCATTCCATATACTTCTTTTTTTTTTTTTTTTTTTTTTTTTAATTACTAAGAGCCTTCAGGTCATTCCCTAAAAATGTATTAGTTGGCTCATTGTCCTCTCATTTGAATGGCTGATCATTCCTTCCAAACGTAGAATTTTGCACTTGTCCTTACTGAGTTGTGTCCTATTCACTTCACACATTTCCCCGATTTGCTAGGAGCCTTTTGAATTTTATTCTCATCTTCCAAAATGCTTGTAGCAACTATGAGCTCAGTGTCATTGAAAAAGTCAGTAATGTATTCTCTAGTTTGTGCTCTACTGATGGAAATAATAGTTGAATAGTGCTCCAGTCTCCCGTTCCTGAGCATTTCATGGTAGTTCACAGAATCATGGAATCGTAGAATGGTTTGGGTTGGAAGGGACCTTTAAAAGTCATCTAGTCTGACCCCCCCCTGCAATGAGCAGGCACGTCTTCAACTGGATCAGGATGGTGGTGGTTTCTGTGATGGATACAGGGTTGGGATGTGGGCCCAACAGGAACATGTGTCCTGCAAAACAGAGGATCTCGGGGCTTTAAAATCACAAAGTTTCTAGCAGGCTCCCCTGAAGGGTGATTTAGCAGCTGTTCCTGGCTGTTGTTACTTTGCTTACTGGTTTATGAGGGGATGGTTCATGCCAAGGTGACCTCCTGAGGTCTGGGACTTGCACCCAATCTGAATGATGTTTGTGGATTCTGGTGTCAAACCTTCTCAAATTTCTCATGTTCGCAGTTCAGCCCCTTTCTCATATCTCTTGTTGCGCTTTGGAGGAGACTGGCCTATATCCAGCTGACAAAAGTCTTGTTGAGATTGTTACTTGCCTTTCAGACGTTTTCAGCAGGTTCTTCCTCCCTTAAATAAGCTTCCCCTGAGGACTGGAAAATGTCCTGGAGCTTTCTCTTCTGCAGCAAGACACCAGCGCCCCTTGGCTCTGCAGGACCGCCGGGACCTCTGCCAGGGAAGAGGCACCATGTGTTCCAATCTCTGTGTGACACTTAAGCAACAAATTGTTGTCCCCCATCGCCAAGACGGGTCTGTACCGTACCCCTCGCTTCTCCAGGGTGCCGTACTCACCGCAGGCGCTCCTCTGCCTTGGCCTGAAACCCCCCCGGGTGCCCTGGGCAGCCCTCGGCTACGCGGCTCCCCGCGGGCACGGCTGGGCTTGCCAGTATGGCCCTGGCTGGAAATCTTGGGTTTGACTCCAGGGAGACCTTAGGCAAAGGAAGGTGTCACCCAGGTTTCTTCAGACGCCTGTGGGTGTGGGCAGTGCTGGAGGGAAGTCAGGCTGGGCTGCCAGCCGGGGCGCGGGTGGTTTGGGGCAGCTCGCTGGGGAAGGATCCGTCCTGCCTGGACCCACCTGTCCCGGGCTGAGTGTTGGATCAAGGGCAGGATCGCCACCAGCCTCCAGCTGCCGGCCAGGACCCTGATCTCATCTACTGCATTCATTCAGATTCTTGCTGGGGTAGAAGGGGAGTTTCACATCTGCCGATTTCTGCCACCTGCGAATCCACCTGTGCGTGTTTTCTGCCCCAATAGTGTTCCTTTGATAACCTGGAGGACCACTGATCGCCTATGGGAAGTTTGGTATGAACATTTAGTTCTATTACTCTTTAAGGGATAAAATACTGAACTCCTTGAGCAGATGTCGAGAAAACTTGCATGGTCTGAGGCGCGAAGCGCTTTTCTTGTGTGTTTTGCATTAGTGAGGGAGCATCTGGCAAGTTCTCCTGGGGATGTGAGAAATCAAAGGTTGTAAATTGGAGGCAGATGTTAATGTGAGGTGTGGTATCCTGAGCTTGTAACTTCAGTCATATCAAAGTGCTTAGCTAACCAAAGTCCTGAATTCTTATGTGGAAAACAGTTCAAAATTGCTTTAAAATACTCTACTGTTGATCGAATAGAACAGCAAGGAGAAAGCATTTTGAAGCAAGTCATTTTGTCTGTGCTGTCTAGAGAGACATCGCTTTATACACTGTTTTTCTTAGTACTAGAATAAAGGTGAACAAATCTTCCAAACATTGAAAGAAGATTACAGGTGCATGTAAGAGCGGATTCTCTGTGAATAGTGAGTGAGCCATCAATGTTTTCATTGTTTTCAGCCTGCTAAGGTTTTAGCCACGTCCTTCATTCATTGTTTAGGACAGACCAACAGAAACGTTAATGCAGGCATCTAATGGAAGAAAGGAATTTTATCAGATATGCATACATATGTGATTTGGCTTTACTAATCTGATAGGAAATTTGATCGAAATACTTGATTTAAACTGTTGGAGAAAGTGGTTTCCTTCTCTGTCACTGGAGATGCGCTGTTATAACCAATGGCGCTAGATCCCATCCTACTTTATTTTAACATTCATGCATTAATTCACGCATTAATATTACTGAAAGCCAAAGCTCAAGTGGCTTGTGCCACAGACAACTAAAATGGAGGTAAAATATCTGCTTGATACGGTGTGCCACATGAGAAGAAGTAAAGCAGCACAGAAGAGCTAAGAGGTCATTAAACAGCCTCTGCAATTCTCTTCGTTACGTTTTGTGTGGAGATCTGTGCCTGAATTTCACTGTGCAATATTATTCTTAAGGTTCTTTCCTAATAACTGTGCCCCTAGTGATCAGAAGTGTCCAGCAAGTTATGCTCCTTGTATGAATTAATGTTGTTTAAAATCACCCTACTGAAGGTACGGAAACAGGAGACTTATAGGCAGGACTTCATTCTCTCAGCTGCTTGTACTATAGATACAGCGTTCTGGTGCCAGGACATGCAGCCACGTGTACATATCAGCCAGGGCTAGCTCTTACTGCTGTGCTGGTTTTGAGCATCACTGCTGTGGAGAATGGTAATGGTGGCTAAGATAGGTTACACCACAGGAGAATGAAATTGCTCTAGGCTTTCTCTTCAGTCTCCAGTAGGCTGAAATTAAATTTTACGCTGAGAAATAGCAGCATCATCTCTATACATAAGTCTTGTCTGTAAGCTGCAAATTTTGAGAACGAGGCAGTCGTCTGCTTTCCATAAACATTGTGCCCATAATGTAAAATAGTTTTTGACATGTGATGTGAGATGATAGGATAATCCAGAGCTCAAATGAAAACAGCATCCTTAAATTCAGCTAACAATGTTAGATTTTAAGACATCTGCCTTTTCCATATCCCTTCCAGATTCCCAGCGAGTTTTTATTTTAACTTGCTTTCAGGGAAAGATGCGATTGCACCATCCATCTGTCAATGTATATATCTCTCTGCCAGTCTCCCTCTAATAACTTTTCGTCTTTTTGGCCAGTTGTAATAACATTAGAAAAAGGTGCAAAGTCTTAAAGACAGTTAAATTTCTATAGGTTTCATAAAATTTGTTAACGGTGTAGGAGAAAAAAATGTAAGTGGGATAGGAGAGAAAATGGCTGTTGTCTGCCCAGTGCCTCCTTGCAGAGGACATAAGGGAGGCCAGGACATAAAGGACACAGTGAACCTCTGGGAAATCAGAAGCAATTCTGCTGTTCATGGAAGTAGTTTTTCTAGATGTAGTTGTATTTTGGTGCAGTAACAAAGCAAACACTGATTAAGAAAGAAGAGCAATACTAACATGCATATCAAATACTCCCTTGAGTTTTCTTTGTCTCGCTGATACCTGGCTATCAAAGATGCAGAAAACACCCCTAAGCTACATCTTGCAGTGAGACAGAAGAGAGAAGTTTAGTATGATGTGTGCAATTGCTGTGTCCTTAGAAAAGCTGAGAATTTATTGCAAAACGCAAGACAAGAAGTATTGTTTTTAAGCAGTACATTACCATGAATGTTGTATCCTAGGGCACCCTGCAGCTCCGTAAAGGTATTTCCTTGAGCTCCAAACTGCAGCAGCTCCAAAGAAACAGCCACGCTTGCTGGAGAGATTACCAGGTTGGTTCTGTTCTCTATTTCGGATACATGCCGGTAGAGATTGATGGCAAATTCAGTCTTCAGCTCTTTCAGCTCATCATAGGAGCTGCAGTTTCCTTTGGTTAAGCAGCAAGCAGACAGGGTGAACGCAGAGAAGAAAATGGGCAACATGAAGGCGAGCTGGGAACACTCTTCACCAGATAATCGTACCTGCAATTAATAATAAAGATAGATTTAGCAAAGCAATAGGCTGAGTTGACAGAGGAACTTTCTCTTTCCATCAGTGTTTAGAGATCACTTGCAATAGTAATGATCACTGTTAAAATACTTGCCCGGGTCTACCCAGTAACTACTGTCAGAAGAAATAAACAGATGTAGGGACGTGCTGGTGACTGTTGACTAACCAGAACCGAGTTTTCCAAAATGCTGTACCCGTATAGGATGCTTGGCCATTGCAATGCACGGAGGCACAGAGCCCCTTGGTTAAAAATTTAGCTACCTGCACGCAGGAGGGGACACTGTAGTGCGATCTCTGTGCTGCTGAGCCCCCACAGCCCCTTTCTGTTCCCAGCAGGAAGGGGGTCACGTCCAGCAGTCCCAGAAGGAAGGCCACTCCTGTGGGGTGCAGGTATCTAACCGGGGGCTCCAGGCTGGGCTTTAGATCCAAGTTTGTAAGAGGCTGCCTTCAATTTTTCCCCCCCCCAGATATTCCTTCTATGAAATTTATCCCAGTGAAAAAAAAGTTGTATTTGCAAAAGGCTCCAGTTCTTGCAGCACAGAATCACTGCTTTGGATTTTTTTGGGGGAAATCAAGCATCGGTCAACGTTATATTAAGAAACACTTTGATTCATATTTAAAGGAATAATGCTAAAATGACAGAATAGCTTTCTTCACAGGATTTTGCCTTTTGAACGTTGTATGCAAGTATATTTTAAAAAATACTGCACCTTCTTTCACTTCAGGATTTCCTACAAATCTTTCTCCATGCCCTTTGCTCTAGAGAGCACCTCTAATGCCTCGTATTTACTCACAGTTAGCTCTGTTAAATTGTCTTGCCTTTCTGTGTCCTTCTGGGTGTCTGAAGGGAAGCTGTCTATGTACTTCTTGTCTCCTTCTTTAATAGGGAGTGGAGTAAAGGCTAAGTCATGAGACTGCATTCAAAGGGATAGACAGTGATCAGAGTCTCTGTCGGCGATGTCTGTACCACTCTGTCCAAATTCCTGTGGGCTACAAGCTCTATGGAGAGCCAGGCAAAGCAGCATGCCACTGACCAGCAAATCCAAGGCAAGGAACAAAAAGGCACACATGAAGATACAGCCAGCAACTTCCTTGCAAGCCCTGCCTGAGCCTCGTGAGACTTGTGACCCTCTGGTACCGAGAAAGGCATCTCCTATCTCTCTTCCCACCCCCCTCCTTCTTTTATATGAATTCCATTGATTCCTCCGCCACAAAGGAGAAGAGAAAGGGCTCTCTGTGTACCAGGCACACAGTTATTTCCCCCCCCCCCCCCCCCACTTTGAAACCTTATTCAGAAATCCCACGCAATTAAAATGTCTTTATTTGCCTTTATTTTTTTTTTTTTTTTTAATGCCATCCCAAACAGCAAGATTTTTATTCACTCTTTAGTTTCCAGGAGGAAAGAAATAACAAAGCGGTGCGGTTGAAGGAAATCGAATGAGGAAGGGATTGCTTTGAATGAACCAGAAGCAGAAGAGCCGTGGTTGTGACTGCTTTTAAAGCAGTTACAGCTGCTTGTGGCTTTCTTCATGTGATAGGATCCATTCCTGACCATCATATTCACAGGTTCAGCCTCACAGTTTCACAATGGCACCTCAGGCAGATGAGGTTTCAGCTTAAAAATGTGTGTAAAACTGCGTCTTGCTGCTATTCATAGAGTTTGACATTATATATATGCTTAGTTATTTTACAGCATACATTCCTATTGCAACTGAGACAGAAGACGTGGGGAAAAAGGCCATTACGGACAAGCAATAGTGCTTAGGTGCTACTGTTTCATCCTTACAGGGAAGGAGCAGCCGCGCAATTGAATTAGGGCCCAAATGAGAATGAAGCAATGGGCCCCCCTTCATCTGCACTTGTGCTCTTCCTCTTTCTGATGCTTGGAGCAGATGGCAGAGTAGACACTGCTACTGGGGTCTGATCCTGGGGTTTAGACCACATTCCTTCTAGGACAGACGAAGGGCAAGAGTTTGGCCAGCTGCAGTCTGGTACAACAGGCAGAGATGTAGCTTTTGCCATGGATTGTGATGGCTGAATCCTCATGCTGAGAATTACATTTGGGTGTAGGAGTTTTGCTGAATGAGGACCTCTCCGTTGAAGTTATCATTTATAGTGTCAACTGGAGAGGTATTCAGAGGGAATGAAACAGACACCACCAAGCGATTTCTCGAAGGGCTTGGAACCGTCAATAGATAAATTAACTCTGGTCTCTAGTGAGGACTGTACAGCTGGGCTTGATGTTATGTTCACAGAGGCTCCAGACCCAACAAGACATTTCCTCTGTGCCCTGCTCGGTACTTTCCTGTGGATTTATTAAGATTTGGAAGAAAGATAGGGAACCCCTGAAGGTTTTAGACATTATTGTCAAAAATTGACATTCGATTCCCACCCGGCAAAAATAGTGCTATTCAGATTTGGGTGGGTATTTATGGAAGATGTAATTGAAAAATGGGCCCTGTATAAATGTGGTGTAGGACAGCATAGTTTCTGTGAGAAAGGGGGAAAAAAATAAGTCTGGGTCACGTTTCAGCACAGTGGGGGCTTAGAAATCGGGGTATTTGTTCAAAAAAATGTGTTGTTCGTCTCTGCACCTGATTTAGGAAAGGAAGGCTGTGGAGGAATCTTAGCTGTGAAAACTGTATCTGCAGACAAGGAGAGAGGAGTTAAGAAAACTAAAAATGTACCAATGCTGTTCTGAGCAGCCATGGGGAATAAGAAATGTGCTTTACATATAATGACTGTGTTATGGTTTAACCCCAGCCAGCAGCTAAACACCACACAGCTGCTCACTCATTCCGCCCCAGGTGGGATGGGAGAGAGAATCAGAAGAGTAAAAGTGAGAAGACCCACGGGTTGAGATAAAGACAGTTTAACAGATAAAGCAAAAGCCGCGCACACAAGCAAAGCAAAATAAGGAATTAATTCCCCCCTTCCCGTTGGCAGGCAGGTGCTGAGCCATCTCCTGGAAAGCCGGGCTCCAGCACGTGTAACCGTTACTTGGGAAGACAAAACACCACCGGTCCAAATGTTTCCCCCTTCTTTCTGCTCTGCCCAGCTTTATAGGCTGAGCGTGATGCCGTGTGGTACGGCAATAATGAAAACATCTCTGTAATATCAACACTGTTGTCAGCACAAATCCAAAACACAGCCCCATACCAGCTACTATGAAGAAAATTAACTCCATTGCAGCCAAAACCAGCACAGAATAAAAAAGAAAATCCATTAGTGAATGGTCAGAAAGATGAAAGTCAGTAGAGCGGGGAAGAAGAAAGAATCAGTGAAACTAGCTGTGGCTAAAAAAGAAGTGATTTTATACTGGGGGGAGAGTATGAATATTTATCACGATCAAGGCCAGACCCAAAATTCTCATGTCCCTTCGGTTTAGCAGCCTAAGTTTTAAGTTGCTACTCCCCAAACTGGGATCTGAAGCTGAGAACTGGATGTGCAGGGAGAAGCTGGTGCCGTGGGGGGGGGCGAGTCAGAAAGCTGGGCTTGCCAAGGGAGCCCGGGGAGCCAGGGGCTGAGCTGGCCAAGTCAGGGTAGTTTGGGGCATAACCCTGGGGCTGCAAACCAAAGTAGGCCAATTCCAGAAATTCCAGGTCAGGAAGAGGTGTCCTGGACCTACAGAAGCCAGAAGGATTGGGCCACTGTGGAGAAAGGGAGTTTCTGGCTCTTTTTTAGCATTATTTTTTTAGAGTCTTTAAACTTGCCTGTGTCCTAGTTTAGGCACCGCCTAAACTAAGATTGGGTCCTAATCTGGCTGTGCATCACAAGGTGCTGAGGAAAGTACCGATAAATTTGCTGGCGATCGTTTTATTTTTAAGCTGCTGGAAACGCATTCAAAAAGAAATTTAATGGATTGGTCCCCAAGATAATGCCTCAAAGACAGAAAGGGCCAGAGGTAGCAGCTGGATTTTGAGAAACGCTTCTTGACATTGAGATAACTTAGACTGCCTGGGAGGGAAGTGAGGAAAGGCGCAGACCAAGGAGGCCTGGAGAAAATACAGGGCTGCGTGGGCAGGAGGCTGGAGCACAGGATGCTCCGTCTCCATGGAGCAACTCCGAACATCTACGGGACCAGCTCTGAAAGCTCCAGAGGGAGCCCAACCTCTCTGTCCCCTCCCTGAGCGGGGAGAGGGCCGGCTCTTTGAGACCAGCAAAGAGCTCTCCCGGTGCGTGAGCAAACCGCCAAACGGGGAGCAAAACTGCTGGAGCGTGCCGGCTGGAAGCGGGGAGGTGGTGGCTGCTCTCACCAACGGATCGGCTCCTGCCTGCCTCGGCGGCGTGGCTGTGCTGTTACTGCGTGGGCTCTCGATGTCCTGCTGTGTGACTGCCGTGGGGGGCCGGGCTGCTGAAGCACCCCCTCTGCCCAGCGCCGACAGATGCCATGGCAGGCCGGGCTCTACAGCGAAAAGAGAAAACGAGGGAAACCGCTCAGGGGTAGCAAAGGTTGACGAGCGAAATCGAAGGGGTCGGACACAGCTGTTCGCCAGAACTTCGTCTGCAAGGTCTTCGTGGGCCAGATTCTGCTCTCAGGTACAGGAGTGTGAATGCAGAGCAGCCACGTGGACTTGGGTTCCGGAGCAAATGGGGAGCTGCTGGGGGAGCGTGGGCTGGGAGGCTCCTCTGGGGGATGGGGTGCTCCCTGGCTGTGGGAAACAGACTCAGGGTTGAGCTTCCACGGTGGTGGCACTGGGGGAGGAAGGTGAGGAACTCCTTCAGCCCTGGAAGCAGCTAGAAGTCACGGGACCAAAATAAGAAACTGGAGGGACAGGCACAACCCGCATGAGCACTACAGGCAGAGGGAGATTTCTTTCTAGGCCTTTTTTTCCCCCCCGAAATTTTTCTCCCAGGAGACTGAAGTTTTCTCTGATTTATTCATCTGTGTTCTAAAAAACCTGAGCCCTGGTTTCATGTGGCTGCTGAGAAGAAAGCGGGGGCAGTTCTGCTCTGGGGCCCTGGCCGGTCTGGGCTCCTGCTGTATAGATTTTAGACAGCAATTTGGAGCAGAATTTGGCCCAGGAAAAGGCTGGAAGATAAAAAGATGAGAGGACTGGGTGAGAAGCAGGTTTTCCTCTTCAAAACTCTCTTGTTTGCTTTCCTGTGTCAGGTCAGCCTCCAGCAGTCTCCTTTCACTCTCGCACAACCCAGGTATTAGTGGGATTATTGTACATTTACCCCTTCATAAAAGAGAATGGAATTTAGCCTTCTATCTGCATCTGGGTTTTATATGCTTGCTCTCTTTAAGATATATAACCCTGGGGAAATGAATACAAACCAGCCTCCTTCCTGCTAACACCTCTCCTCCAGGAGAGAGTCTGCACTGCAAGATACCAACACGTTTGCTCAATCGGGAAGAAGGTTTTGCTGAATTTCAGGAGAAGAAAAATTTGCATCATCGTTTCATACAAAGCTTATTCTATGGGGAGGTGGTTGGCTGCGGAGCCGTGAAACAGCCAGCTGAGCAAGTTCAAGTGAGTTTGCTTACTGCTCTCCGCATGCCATGTGAAAACCACCACTGCCTCTGCCCCACCCTGGGCCATGAAGCCAAAATCTGGCTCTTCGAAGGATGCCCACTGTAGAGGACCGCCTTCAAAGAGAAGTCCAGTGAAGTGAATAATTTCCACGGCGCTTTATAAACCGGCCAGCTGACCCTGCGATGGCACCTCAGACCAAATCCTGCCCGCTGGCACGGCAGCAGACCCCTCCTCGGGGCACGGCCTCGATGACTTCAGTGCCAGCGCCGGTCCGTCCAGGACCTGGTGGGGAGGACACGCGGTGCAGAGCCCCGCAAAGGGGCTCCATCCTGCCAGACCTCTCAGGTGCTGAGACTGGCAAGGAGCCCCATCGCCACTCGGGGCTTAAAAGGTTTTCTTTGCACGTGGGTTGTGGCAGGTCCCGGCTCCCGTCCCTGCACGGTGCAGATGGGGAGTGGGGAACTGGCAGGCACGGCCGTGGGGACTGCTTCACTCACACCCTCCTGCCCAGCTCCAGGGGGTAAGAAGCACTTTTAGGTGCAATAAGGCTTTTGGGCAGCTCTCACAGCTG